TCCCACAGCTTGGAAATGTCTGATACTCTGCTATACAGCACAAAGACACATACATGCACGCACACACATAATTTGGAGGACCTTTTTTTAAAAAAAGCAGTTACCTTTTTCTTATTGCATACATCTCCAACGCCAACACAGGTGAGCTGAAAAAAGGAAAGCATTCATTTGATTTGCAGGCACGCTCCCCGGTCCCCCCCAAAATAAATAAACAACAGCACGAAAGCAAGGATAAAGAAATATAAAACCAACGAGTACTGCCGGATAAAGACTGTAAAGATGAGCCTAGAGAGATAACCTCAAAAAGAGCTCAAAGTCTTTGCATCCCACTTGCTCCCCGGTTTTCAAACATTATTCTTCTTCAATCTAACATCTTCAACTCCCAAAGGATCTTTTTTCATCAGGATGCCACACATGTGGGGCAGAGCGAAGCTGGAGTATTCCAACCAGTCCTGCTGAAAAATTAGCTCCCTCGGTGTCTTCCCCCCCCCCCTGCACTGATATTTCTGTTTCCTTGATGTTTAGGAAGTGGTGTCATGCTTTGAGAAATGCTTCCCCCCGCCCTCTCTTTTCTTTCCAGTCACATCTTTCAAACTGTAGGTCTTAGGACCAGAGGCTGTCTCTATTAATTAATTTCAGACAAACTATTCCGAGAATGGTTTGGGCTGAAGCAAAGGATTAAAAATAACTAAAAACGCAGGGCATTTATACTTAGACTAATCTGCAAGTGGAAGTATCAGATTGTAAATAGCATTAAAGGTAGATTTCACTTCTATTCACCATTCCTTGACAGGAACGCACGGTCCAAGGCTGACTGTCATCATTTTTGTATACAAACAGCTTTCCATTGGTGTCCCCTACCACTAGTTCATTCAACTGGAGAGAAAGAGAGAGATAAAAGAAAACGTTAATAAAAAATATTTTTTTTTTAAATTCAAAAGTGTTCTTCACCCTCTCCCCATTATTTCTTAATTACAAATCTCCAGTTATGTGACACTGAATATAGATGCTAGAAATAGATACAGAGATACGTGATACCAACAGATAGATGCTAGAAATAGCTGATATTGATAATTTATATATAGATAAAGTAAGATTCTAGGGATATATTGATACATATATAAAATAGATATAGATTTAGATGATATTGATAGTTGATATATATATATATATATATATATATATATATATATATATATATATTCTAGAAATACAGATATTGATATATAAAGACAGATGATAAAGACAGATATAGATATTGACAGTTGATAGATTCTTGATAGACAGTTGATATGATTGATATATAAAGATATAGATGATAGAAAGATGACATTGACAGTTGATATATAAAGATTCTAGAAATACAGATATTGATATAGATGATAGACAAATGATATAGATACTGATAGTTGATATATATATATATTCTAGAAGTAGTTATATAAAGATAGATATAGATACAGACAATAGACATTGACAATAGAAAGATATTGATAGTTGATATATATAGAAAGATCTAGAGATATAGATACAGATAGATATATAAAGATATAGAAACATGATAGAAAGCTATTGGTAGTTGATATATATAGAGAGATTCTAGAAATACAGATATTGATAGATATATAAAGACAGATGATAGATGATATATATATAAAGATATAGACAGAAAGATGTTGATAGTATATATATATATATATATATATATATTCATTCTAGAGATATTGATATATGAAGATAGATGATATAGGATACAGAAAGATTCTAGAGATGTTGATATATAAAGATATAGACGGATGAATGATATTGATAGTTCATATATATAGTCTAGAAATACAGATGTTGATGGATAAATAATGATAGATGACAGATATAGATATTGATAGTTCATCTATAGATATAGACAGATTTAGAGATATATATAAAGTTTGATATAGAGACAGAGGGATCATATAGAATAGAATAAAATAGCAGTTGGAAGGGTCCTTGGAGGATATTGCTAGTTGATATATGTGTGTGCCTGTGTATGAAAACACAGATGACAGATGACATTGCTAGCTGATATAGAGATACAGACAGAGGACACTGATATTGATCGATATACAAAGATAGAGGATGGATAGAGATATTGATCCATGAGATACAGAAAGAGACAGACGGAGGATGGAGATCCCGGACAAGGCCGCTCCTTGCCCTCCTCCCTTCTCCCCCCCCCCCGGACCCACCGCGTCGTTGTCGGCGTCGCCCAGGGAGACGGCGCGCGGGAAGAGGCTGCCGCCGAAGTCGAGAGCCACCCGGCGGACGTAGCTCACCGAGCGCATGGCCGCTCTAGCGCGGCGACTCTCGCTGGCTGCGGCGGCGAACTTCCGGTTCTTGCGACAACCGCCCCCTTCCCCATCCCCGGAAATATAACCACGGGAAGAGCCGCCCCTTGCCGGCCTGCCTCACGCTCGCCCCCTGCCGGCGGCGGAGTTTGCAAGGCGAACTCGCCCTGGACCAGCCAAAGATGGATAAACGCAGGCAAAAGGGGCAATAAACTGGGATAACATTTGGGAGGGAATTCAAACCACGAAATCTAGGCCACCATTAACCACAGCAACCCTGATTGGCAGGTGGCAGCCTGCAGGGTAGGCAGTACAGGCGGTCCTCGACGTACGACCCCCCAATTGAGCCCAAAATTTATGTTGCTAAGTGAGACATTGGTCCAGTGAGCTTGGCCCCATTTTACGACCTTTCTCGCCTGCGGTTGTTAAATTAGTAACCCCGTCCTTAAAGGAATCAAGTCTTCCCTCTTGACTTTGCTTGTCAGAAGGTTGCAAAAGTTTTTTTTTTTTAATAGATATTTTATTGGTTTTTAACTATAACCGTCTCCAGTGCCTGGTGTACAGCGTGTTGTCTTGGTTTGTATTTTAACAAGAAAAAAAAAGGAGAATAATTAACAATCATGATTAAAATTGATAATTCCATAATACATTAATGATACATTTCTTTGATCTTCCCTTCTCCCATTTGTATTCTCCTTCTTCAACCTTAGCCAAAATCTAATTCTTAATATTTTCAATATATAAATGATTAGGTGTAAGCATTTTTTATATTTATACAAATAATAATAATCTCTCTATATAACATTTTTTCCAGCTTATATTATTCTCATAACCATCATCTCATTAGTTCAGCATACATCCTATTTTTATAATTTTTGTTCGCTTAAATTCCCTTATATTCAATCCGATTCTTCATATTAGTCATCTAACGGTTTAAATTTTCCCATTTAGGTACATCATCCCAATATTTTATGTCATGCATTATAAAAATACTATACTTTTTATCTGTCTTATAGTATCTAGATATAACATTCTTTTTAAATAAGTTTATATTTTACTTATATATTAATAAAAATTACATCAACCTACTATTGCAAAAGTTGTTCTCACATGGCAGCCGTCGTAAATGTGAGTCAGTTCTGTTGAGCCTGGGGATGCTGCAACGGTTGTAAAGTGTGAAAAACGGCCGTAAATCACTTTTTTAGTGCCGTCATAACTTTGAATAGTCACTGAGCGAACAGTTGTAAGTTGAGGACTCCCTGTAATACATTTATAATAGAAAAGACTCTGCAAGGTTATTTATTAATGGATTTTAAGATATTTATTTCTTATTTTCAATTTCTAGCATCTTAAAATGGAAAAAAAAAAAGAGGAAGGCTTAAGATGATAAAACTAAATCCGAGTCAAAAAAAGGGTTGATGAAAATTAGGCATCTTTTTGGTTTACCCGGGTATTTGCATTTTTGTGAATATAAAAAAAAAAAGATGTTAAAGATGAAGTCAATCAAACTAAAATAAGATTTGGAAACCAGACATGTACGGTAAGTCAATCTCTCATTCAAACAAAACCCAGTCCAGGTCAATCTAGATTTAATAATGACCCTTTACAAACTTTTTTTTTTTTGCTTATCAAGTTGCATTCATAACCTGTCTGGCAAAAATCTACAAAATTTAAGAAAAAAAAAAAGATTCTTCTAGCAGCCATTGATACGGTTACAACTACCGGTACGTAGTTGTGTGCCTTCAAGGCTAGTCATCTTTCAGGTATTCCTTTAGCTAATAACATTGTTTTCCCCCTGAATCCCAGATTTAACAAAGGATGTGAATGATCAGATACTTGAATAAATAAGAAACAATTAGCCATTCAAACTAAGGAGATGCTCTTTTAATAGAATGTGTTAGAATCATGGGTAAATCTTTTGGTCTTGTGTGAAGAAATGACATGGAGGAGTAGAACTAAGGACCTAATTGGTATTACCGATAGCTTCCATGGATAAAAATTGTTATGGGTACCTTTATTGCATAGGCAATTTCTTTCCTCCCTTCGTCTATCCTATCTATCTCTCTATCATCCATCCATCCCTCCTTCTCTTCCTTTCTCCTTTCTTTCCTGTCTTATTTTCTTCCTCCTTTTATTTACTTTCCTTCCATTTTTTTCTCCTTCCAACCTTTTCCTTCTTTCTTCCTATCTTTTTCTTCCTTCTATTTTTTCTCCTTCCTCCCTTTTCCTCCTTTCTCTTCTTTTCCTTCCTTCCTTCTCTTGTTCCTCCTTCCTCTCTTTTCCTTCCTTCCTCTCTCCCTAACTTTTCCTTCACCTATTTTTCTCCCTTCCATTTTTTCCTCCTCCCTACCTTTCCCTTCTTTCTCTTCCTATCTTTTCCTTCCCCCTTCTGTTTTTCCTCCTTCCTGTCTTTTTCTTCTTTCTCATTCCCACTTCCTCCCCTGCATCCTTCTCCTTCCTCTATTTTCTTTCTTTCTTTTTTCTTTCCTCCTCCTTCTCTTTCTTTCTTTCTTTCTTTCTTTCTTTCTTTCTTTCTTTCTTTCTTTCTTTCTTTCTTTCTTTCTTTCTTTCTTTCTTTCTTTCTTTCTTTCTTTCTTTCTAGCAAACACTCCCGCAGCCTCCCGCTGGCCTCCGCCCTGCGCACGCGCGGTGGCTTCTTCGGCTCTCCTTCCCTCCCTCCCTCGCGGAGCGCCGCCCTTTCGCTCGGATCTCGGCCGCGGGAGCCGAAGTGGGCGGGGCTCATCCCGGAAGCCTTGGCCCCGCCCTCCCTGGCAAGATCCCCAGGCAGCGCCCAGCGGCAGGTGAGCTCCGAGAGGCGGCGGGCTTTATTTATTTATTTATTTATTTATTTTTGTTTTGAGTGGGTGGGTGGGGAAGAGGTCGTGGCTGGGCTTGCCAAGCCCGGTGGGCGCCTTTGCAAGCATCCTGCAGGCAGGCGGTGGGTGGGTGGGCGGGCGGGGAAGCCTGGGAATCCTTTGCATTGTCCCAAAGGGGCTTTTTTTTCCCAGGAGGCACCTGGACTCTCTTGTTTTTCCTTTGAAGACGTTTCGCTTCTCATCCCGGAAGCTTCTTCAGCTCTGGCTGGAGGGCGGGGAAGGGAAGGATTTATACTCCTTGCAGAAAGCTGGTCCTTTGCCTCCTTTTTGCAGTGTTTCTCAACCGCGACCATTTTAAGTCATGTGGACTTCAACTCCCAGAATTCCACAGCCAGCAATGCTGGCTGTGGAATTCTGGGAGTTGAAGTCCACATGCCTTAAAATGGTCACGGCTGAGAAACACTTTTTTAGGGAGTCCTTGAGGCCATTTGAAAAGGCCTCTTCCTTCTTCTTCTTCCTCTTTCTTTCCCTTTCCCTTATCCTTCGCTTCCTCTTCCTTTTTCTTTCTCTCTGGGTCTCTTTCTCTCCTATCCTTCTCCTTCGTTCCCTCCTATCTTCCTCTTCCTCTTCCATCCTTCTCCCAAAGATGCTTTTTCAGGAGGCAATGGGACTTTCTTGTTTTTTCTTGGAAGAGGTTTTGCTTCTCATCACGGAAGCTTCTTCAGCTTTGACTGGAGGATGGAGGGAATGGTAGGATTTATACTCCTTGCAGAGAGCTGGTCATTTGCCGCCTTTGAGAGGGTCGTTGAGGCTATTTGAAAAGACCGCCTCCTCTTCGTCTTTCTTTCCCTTATCCTTCATCTCCTCTTCCTTTTTTCTCACCCACTCGTGCTCCTCCCCTTCTTTGTTTTTATTTCTCTCTGTCTTACTCTCCTATTCTCCTTCTTTTCCTCCCATCTTCCTCTTCCTCTTCCTTCCTTCTCCTCTTCTTTCTTTCTCTTTCTCTTTCTTTCTCTCTGTCTCTCTCCTATCCTTTCCCTCCCATCTAACTCTCTTCCTCTTTCCCTTACCTTTCACCTCCTCTTCCTTTCTCTTTTCCCCTCCTCCTCCTCCTCCTCCTCCGTTCTTTTTCTTTCTCTCTTTTTCTGTCTCTCTCTTCAATCCTTTCCCTTCTCTCCCTCCCATCTTCCTCTTTCCCTTTCATCCTTCTCCCAAAGGTGCTTTTTCCAAGAGGCAACTGGACTTTCTGGTTTTTCTTTGAAGACGTTTCGCTTCTCATCCCAGAAGCTTCTTCAGCTCTGACGGGAGGGTGGGGGAATGGGAGGATTTATACTCTTTGCAGACAGCTGGTCATTGGCCGCCTTTTAGAGAGTCGTTGAGGCCACTTGGAGGTTTACATAGACATTTCCTTTGCATTGCACGTTGCATTGAATTGCCCTCCCCCCCTTCTGAAAGAGAGCAGCATCTGGGCTGAACTTTCTGGAGCATCTCTAAAAGGGAGTACTATACCTCCCTAAAGTGTTGTACTACAGTTCCCATTAACCCCAAGGAGGGAGCCAGGTGCATTGGGAGGCAGAAATGACCAATGGAGTGGAATCCCTGATCCTAAATGCGTCTATAGCCGTGGTGGCGAACCTATGGCACGCGTGCCATAAGTGGCACTCAGAGCCCTCTCTGTGGGCACGTGCACCGTTGCCCCACTCCTAGGCCTTCAGCTGAGTTTTATAAAACCTTTTCGCTTTAGGTCTCCGCCACTATGTGCAAAAAAAAAAAAAGTTCAATCAATCAGTCAATTTCAACTTCTCGCGGGAAAAAAAAAGATCTCGCAAAGTTGGAATTGATGGATTGAACTTTTTAGTCCCACCCAGTCTGCCGTTACCACGCCCACCCAGTTGGCCCCAGCCAGTGGGCCACGCCCACCTGGCACTCGATGATGCATAAATGGGTTTTGGGTTGCAGTTTGGGCATTCGGTCTCTAAAAGGTTCGCCATCACTGGTTATAGTTTCACTTCCCTCCCCCCCTTTTAATAAGCAGCAATTGAGGCGAGGTCTCATTTTGGAAGTTGGATTTAAATCCGAATCTTTTGCCATCTTTTAGATCTTTATTTTATATGGTAATGGATTGCAATAGAAAACTCAGAGGATTTGTGATTCAAATTATAAAGGTCCTTACAAGGTGCCCTGATTGAAATGGACTTCGGTGTGGGTTCACTTGGAAAAAAGATCTGAAAGTCTAGGCAAAGATGACCAACAAAATCACGCCTTGTAATAAAATCACAATAGTTGTGCATCAAGAATGGCTGTCTCACACCAAAGCCTCCAGATTACCTGAATCTACAATGTTGCCTAATTTATTTGCCATTTGTGAAGGGTCAAGTTAGGAATCCTTACAGGAGAAAAATACTGGCTTGTGCACATTGTTGTTTTTCAGTAGATTCTAATCAGTCCGACTGCCTTATTTATAATAGATAAAAGGTTTCTATTGCTATTATTCCATAGGGTTGCTTCTTGATTACCTTTTCCTGCAATGGGTGCCATATTTTTTGACAGATGTTTATGTAGATGGCCATCCAGAATGTTTTTGTTTTTAAACAAGAACCTAGTTTGAACACTGTATCCCTTCTGGTATGTTTCTATTTTATTACAGAAGAATACCACAGAATAGAAAATTAGAATATTGTAGAATGAAATGGAACAGAACGGAACAGAATAGAATAGAATATTAGAATACTGTAGAATGGAATAGAATAGAATAGAATAGAATTAAGAATGAATATAAAATAGAATAGAATATTAGAATACTGTAGAATGGAATAGAATAGAATAAGAATGAATAGAATATAAAATAGAATAGAATAGAATATTAGAATACTGTAGAATGGAATAGAATAGAATAGAATAGAATTAAGAATGAATATAAAATAGAATAGAATATTAGAATACTGTAGAATGGAATAGAATAGAATAAGAATGAATAGAATATAAAATAGAATAGAATAGAATATTAGAATACTGTAGAATGGAATAGAATAGAATAGAATAGAATTAAGAATGAATATAAAATAGAATAGAATATTAGAATACTGTAGAATGGAATAGAATAGAATAGAATAGAATAGAATTAAGAATGAATATAAAATAGAATAGAATATTAGAATACTGTAGAATGGAATAGAATAGAATAAGAATGAATAGAATATAAAATAGAATAGAATATTAGAATACTGTAGAATGGAATAGAATAGAATAGAATAGAATTAAGAATGAATATAAAATAGAATAGAATATTAGAATACTGTAGAATGGAATAGAATAGAATAAGAATGAATAGAATATAAAATAGAATAGAATAGAATATTAGAATACTGTAGAATGGAATAGAATAGAATATTAGAATACTGTGGAATGAAATGGAAAGGAATAGAATAGAATAGAATATTAGAATACTGTGGAATGGAATAAAATGAAATGGAAAGGAATAGAATAGAATATTAGAATACTGTATAATGGAATGGAATATAATAGAATAGAATAAGAATGAATAGAATATAAAATAAAAATAGAATAGAATATTAGAATACTGTGGAATGGAATGGAATGAAATGAAAAGGAATAGAATAGAATAGAATATTAGAATACTGTGGAATGGAATGGAATGGAATGGAATAGAATTAGAATTAGAATAGAATATTAGAATACTGTAGAATAGAATGGAATAGAAGAAATGAATAGAATAGAATGGAATTAGAAATAGAGTAGAATTAGAAATAGAACAAAAGCTTTATTGTCACTTTAAATGTACACTAACCAGCATACATTAAAATGAAATTTCATTGCATTCAGCTCTCAAAAATCACCATTCTTCATATACCCACACCCCCACACAGACGCTGCAGCATTTTAAACGTGCTATTTTTTGCTGAATTTTAAAAAAAGGAAGGAAATTCATGCCTCATCCATAGGAAGCTTCTGTTTTGTTCTAGGGGAAAAAAAAGTAACATTCAAATGCCTAGTTTCACAGTTTAGGAGATTTATCTGTGTCTCCTCAGTTAAGTTGTCTTCTAAGGTAACAGACCACGCTCTAAAGTCCTGTTGCACGTTTTGGAAATTGGGCCTTTAACATTCTGAGGGTGCCATGTTAGAGAACTTATTGCACCATTGCTATAATCTTGTCTAAACAGATCCGTACAGGGGGTCCTCGACTTGTAACGGTTTACTTAGTGACAGTTCAGAATTTAAAAAAAAGCGACTCGTGACCATTTTTCACACTTAACGACTGTCGTGGCCTCCCCATGGTCACGTGATCAACTGACTCATAGTTATGACGGGGGTGTGGCGGTGTCCCTGGGGGGTGTCACGTGATCCCCTTTTGCGAGCTGACTGGCAAAGCCAGATTCACTTAAGGACCGTGTTAACTAACTGAACTGCAGCGATTCGCTTAACGACCGTGGGAAAGAAAGGTCTTGAAATGGGGCAGAATTCACTTATGAAATGTCTCGCTTACCAACGTAAATTTGGGGGTCAGGCCGTTGTGGTCGTAAGCCGAGGACCACCTGTATGATGGTCTTTATCGAGCTGTTCAGAAAAGTGCTGACAAGGTGTAGAGGAGGGCCTGTAGGAACTTGCAGAGCCGTTGTGTCAACCCTGCGCTGGCATTCAAAAACATTTTCTGGCATTGTCAAGGACAGCCACACTGAAGGCCTGAAGATTGTGTTGCTGAGGAGGACACGCTGAGCACCATCTGAATCACCATCTGCTCGGCTTCCCTCACAGCTTCGGTGGTGTGTTGTGTGTTGCTTTGCGGGAGCTGTTTCGCCATAGGATGAGGCTGGTAATCCTAGAAAATTACGATTTGGCGAGCGAATGGACGGCAAAGTACATCTGTAACCGCATCGTCCAGTTCAAGCCTAACCAAAGCCGATACTTCACCCTTGGCTTACCGACAGGTAATTAATTTTCTTCTGTCTCTTTCCCTCCCTCCCCTCCTCTCTCTCCCTCTCTGTTCCTCCCTCTCTCTCCCTCTCCCTAATTTCCTCCCTCTCTCATTCCCTCTCCCTCCCTCTCTCTCCGTTCCTCCCTCTCTCCCTCTCTCTAATTCCCTCTCCCTCCCTCTCTCCCTTTCTCCGTTTCTCCCTCTCTCCCTCTCTCTAATTCCCTCTCCCTCCATCTCTCCTTCTTTCTCCATTCCTCCCTGTCTCTCCCTCTCTCTAATTCCCTCTCCCTCCTTCTCTCCCTTTCTCCATTCCTCCCTCTCCCTCCCTCACCCTAATTCCCTCTCCCTCCCTCTCTCCCTCTTTCTCCCTCCCTCTCTCCCTCACCCTAATTCCCTCTCTCTCCCTCCTTTCTCCCTCTTCCTCATTCCCTCGCCCTCTCTCTTCCACTTAATTTTCAATGCCATTGTAACTTTGAAGGGTCACTAAATGAACTGTTGTAAGTTGAGGACTACTTGTAATCCACAAGAAAAGTGACCAAGGCATGAGAGATCATGAAAAGTGATTTAGAAGGATACTTATTCCTTAAGGGATCGATGGAAGAAAATCTTTCTGTCTGTAGAGTTTTCCCATGACGTGATCAATATAGCAACAGTGACAGCACTTATATACCGCTTCATAGTGCTTTACAGCCCTTTCTAAGCGGTTTAAAGAATCAGCCTATGGCCCCCAACAATCTAGGTCCTCATTTTACTGACCTCAGAAGGATGGAAGACTGAGTCAATCTTGAACTGGTCAGGATCGAACTGCTGGCAGTGGGCAGAGTCAGCCTGCAATACTGCATTCTAACCCCTGCGCCACCACAGCTAAAGATGGACGAATGGATGGATAGCAATAGCAATAATAGAAATAGAAATAGCACCTAGACTTGTATACCACTTCACAGTGCTTTACAGCCCTCTCTGAGGGGTTTACAGAATCAGCATCTTCCCTCAAACAATCTGGGTCTACATTTTACCCACCTCGGAAGGATGGAAGGCAGAGTCAACCTTGAACCGATCAGGATCGAACTGCTGGCAGTGGGCAGAGTCAGCCCGCAATATTGCATTCTAACCACTGCGCCACCACGGCTAAAGATGGTTGGATAGGTAGATAGATGATAGGTAGGTAGGTAGGTAGGTAGGTGGATGGATGGATGGATAGATGATAGATAGATAGATAGCAATCAAAATAACAATAGCACTGTCCTAGACTTACAGCCCTCTCTAAGCAGTTTAGAGAATCAGCATCTTGCCCCCAACAATCTGGGTCCTCATTTTACCAAACTTGGAAGGCTGAGGCAATCTTGAGCAGGTCAGGATTGAACTTCTTGGCTGAGGGCAGAGTCAGCCTGCAATACCGCATTCTAACCCTTGTGCCACTACAGCTAAAGATGGATGGATGGATAGGTAGGTAGGTAGATAGATGATAGGTAGATAGATAGATGATAGGTAGATAGAAGATAGATTAGATAGATGATAGATAGATTAGATAGATAGATGATAGATAGATTAGATAGATAGATGATAGATTAGATAGATAGATGATAGATTAGATAGATAGATGATAGATAGATAGATTAGATAGATGATAGATAGATTAGATAGATAGATAGATGATAGATTAGATAGCTAGATAGATGATAGATAGATTAGATAGATAGATTAGATAGATAGATAGATAGATAGATAGATAGATAGCAATCGAAATAGCAATAACATCTAGACTTATATACCGCTTCACAGTGCTTTACAGCCCTCTCTAAGCAGTTTACAGAGTCAGCCTTTTGCCTCCCCCAACAATCTGAGTCATTTTATTGACCTCGGAAGGACGGAAGGCCGAGTCAGCCGGTCAGGATCAAACTGCTGGCAGTGGGCAGAGTCAGCCCGCAATCCTGCCTTCTAAACCCTGCACTGCCAGGGCTCATGATATAATCATAACTGGACTTGTGGTCCTCTCTCATCTTTTGCAATTCCAGTGAAAGATATTTTTCTTAGCGCCCGGGATAACAAAATGTTTGCTTGATGCAGGAAGCACACCTTTGGGATGCTACCAGAAGCTGATAGACTATCACAAAAGAGGGGATTTGTCTTTTAAATATGTGAAGACATTCAATATTGATGAATACGTAGGTAAGTTTGGCTTTTTTTTTTTTAAGCACACCTGTGTTGGTGACACGGGCTTAGAGTTGCAGTGTTACGCAACCTCGGGTAGAGTTGCATGCTTCGGTACACCTTCCCTATCCATTTTCCTTGAGCTCCACTAATTAAACAGCTCTGCTTTGGTTCCAGGCCTTCCGAGGAATCATCCGGAAAGCTACCATTCTTACATGTGGAACAATTTTTTTAAGCATATTGATATAGATCCAAACAATGTCCATATTCTCGATGGGAACGCACCGGATCTAAAAGCAGAGTGCGACGCCTTTGAAAAGAAGATAGAAGAAGCTGGAGGGATTGAACTGTTTGTTGGAGGTGAGCTTCTGCAAAAAAACTGAAACCATCAGTGAGTAATCCAATTAGTACAAGCTACTATTGAAGTATCGTTGCTTAGAGGAATAAAATAATACAGGTACTGCGGGACTTCAGCCGCAAATTTATGTTGCCACATGAGACATTTGTTTTGAGTTTTACCCCATTTTACGACCTTTTTTGCCAGAGTCGTTAAGCGAATCACTGCAGCTCTTAAGTTAGTAACACGGTTGTAAAATGAATCTGGATTCCCCCCCCCCCTTGACTTTGCTTGTCAGAAGGTCGCAAAAGAGGATCAAATGAGCCCAGGACACGGCTACCGTTATAAAAACAAGTCCGTTGCCAATTTGGATCACGTGACCGTGGGGATGCTGCCGTGGACATATGGGTGAAAAATGGTCAAACGTCACCTTTTTCAGGGCCTTTGAACTTTCGTAAGTTGAGAACTAGCTGTATTGTGTTTTCATTTTTCCGTTGCCACACGGCTCACTCCTGTATTCTAGCCTGTTTTTCCCCTAGTAATTTTGAATTATTCCTAACAGCTATTCAAACTATTTGTTCTCAAAGAAAGAGGCCAGGCAGTTTGTGAATACCCCAGGGGCATCCTCCGCAGATGCTTGATCAACGGGTGAGGGGATGAGCACCTAGTATCAAAGCACAATTCCCTCCCCCAATTAACAGTCATAAATCACATTCTCCAATTAGTTTGAAATGCAGGCTTCCCCTCCAGTTCTCCAACCCGCCATTCCTTATCATCTCTTATTTCAATAACCTTGGTTCTCACACTAGGTCCAATATTGTTATGTCTAGCTAAACTCTCATGCACATTCCTCCCCCCAGCGTCATCTAACTTTAGCTCTAACTCTAAAAGCAAAACATAAGAAAAAAAATGATTGCATCTCCAACTATTGTCAAAGCAAAAACATCTGATGTTAGCACCGTTGACCTCCACCCCCACCTTACAAAAAGGACAGATCCCATTTTGTGACCTTTTGACAAGCAAAATCAGTGGGGGAAGCCAGACTCACTTAACACCGGGTTACTATCTTAACAACTCTGGCAAGAAAAGTCGCAAAATGGGGCAAAACTCACTTCACAAACGTCTCGGCCTAAACGTTGAGCTCAACTGTGGATGTAAGTCGAGTGTTCTGGCCAAGCGTGCCTCGCCCACACCGCTTTTGTCGTTTGTGGTCTTTCCAAGGCATTGGCCCTGACGGTCATATCGCTTTCAACGAACCGGGATCCAGTTTGGTGTCAAGAACCAGATTGAAAACTCTCGCCATGGATACCAGTCTGGCGAATGCAAAATACTTCGACGGTGATTTATCTAAGGTTCCAACCATGGCCTTAACGGTTGGCGTGGGAACAGTCATGGATGCCAGGGAAGTAAGAACATCTGTCTTTATATTTGCATTTTTTAAAATGTATCTGAAAACTGGAGTGCTGTGTAAGTCATGCCCTTTAGAATTAGCGCACTACAAATGCCCATTACTAAATCTCCATGGCAGAGGTGGGGAACTACACCCCCTTGTATGGTTTTTGGACTTCAACTCCCAGAATTCCTGAGCCGGCCATTTTAATATGTAAGACCAGGTTCTAAGGCAGAGGTGGGCAACTATGGACCCTTGTATGGCTTGTGGACTTCAACTCCCAGAATTCCTGAGCCGGCCATTTTAATATTTAAGACCCAGGTTCTAAGGCAGAGGTGGGCAACTACGGCCCCTTTTACGGCTTGTGGACTTCAACTCCCAGAATTCCTGAGCCGGCCATTTTAATATGTAGGACCCAGGTTCTAAGGTAGAAGGGAAACTACGGCCCCTTGTATGGCTTGTGGACTTCAACTCCCAGAATTCCTGAGCCGGCCTTTTTAATATTTAAGACCCAGGTTCTAAGGCAGAGGTGGGGAACTAGAGCTCCTTTATGACTTATGGTTAGTCTCCCAATTCAGAGCAATTAATAACAGTATAAACCACGAGCATCCAACTTTGCCAACTTGTGGATTTCAACGCAAGATGACTGGCTGGGGAATTCTGGGAGTTGAAGTCCAAAAGTAGCAAGGTTGGACCCCTTAGCTTAGTACCGTCTGTTGCAGTTGGGGGGTGCTGCTTTGCTAGCTTGCTTGGACCCTGCTCCATCCGTGCTTGTCTTCCAGGTTATGATTCTGATCACGGGCGCACACAAAGCCTTTGCCTTGTACAAGGCAATCGAAGAAGGGGTCAACCATATGTGGACGGTTTCCGCCTTCCAGCAACATCCCCACACAATCTTTGTGTGTGACGAAGATGCCACTTTAGAACTCAGAGTTAAAACGGTGAAGTATTTTAAAGGTGAGTGTCATCGTACGAAGAACGGTGGCAGGATTTGGGTATAGCTAGTCTTGAGAAAAGAAGGACCGGGGTGACATGATAGCAGTATTCCAGTATTTAAGAGGTTGCCACAAAGAATAGGGGGCACTTGCACCAGAAGGCAGGACAAGAAACAACGGATAGAAACTGGAAGTTTTTAAGAAGAGACTGGACAGCCATTTGTCTGAAATGGTATAGGGTTTCCTGCCTGAGCAAGGGGTTGGACTAGATGACTTCCAAGGTCCCTTCCAACTTCTACTACTACTACTACTACTACTACTTCTTCTTCTTCTTCTTCTTCTTCTTCTTCTTCTTCTTCTTCTTCTTCTTCTTCTTCTTCTTCTTCTTCTTCTTCTTCTTCTTCTTCTTCTTCTTCTTCTTATTATTATTATTATTATTATTATTATTATTACTATTATTATTATAAACTAACCAAGGAGAGAAGCTACCTGGACTTAAGGAGAAACCTCTTAATAGTGAGAACAATTAACCAGTGGAACTCCTTGCCACCAGAGGTTGTGGGTGCTCCATCACTGGAGTCTTTTAAGAAGAGATTGGACTGCCATTTGTCTGAAATGGAATAGGGTTTCCTGCCTGAGCAGGGGGTTGGACTAGATGACCTCCAAGGTCCCTTTCAGCTCTGTTCCGGTTGACTACCTGCCGTTAACTAGTAATATGAGCAGTAACAGATTTATTTTTTAATCTTCAAGGTTTAATGCACGTGCACAACAAACTCGTGGAGCCTCTGCATAGTATGAAAGAGCAGAATTGAAGGACGGAACCATGATGGAGCCACTGGGCAGGGTGGGGGGGGACGGGACCCTGGCAGTGTGTTTTGGGGGAGCAGGCTGCTAGGCTGCATTGTGAAAAACATGGGCTAAACTTCAGCTTCTTTATAAACCTGGGGCTTGTGGTAACATTTATCCTGGCGGTCCAAATGCGCGCGTACATTCCTCTCCGTGCTGTCACAAGTCCTTTTTTCGTCTGTTCCCCCCCCTCCCCCGGACCTGTTTTGCTTCTTGCACGTTATTCCATCGTCTGAAACTGGGGAACAATTCCGGGGAAAGAGGATAAAGCTCAGACAGGCTTTCTGGGGGGGGGGGAGAATAAATGTTCCGGCAGGGATCTCTGGGAAAAGATTCCACCAGTGTGATTTCAGTTCCATCTTTTTTATTATGGGTGAAGGACTTTGAGAACCCTGTTAGGGCCATTGTGATCGCGCCATGCAGACCCTCCTGGCTCTGTGACTTGCATATAAATACTTCTTTGTTGCTTTAGATCTTGGCCTCTTCAACATTAAGGGTAGCGGAGAAGAAGTCCTTTTACAACCAGGTGTTCATAATCCATGGCCTTAAAAGCTACCCTTTCTTCTCTGGGAATAGGGTCCAACATAGTAAGAGGAGAGGATCTATTTAGCAAGCAATGGTCATTTTTTGAAGTTTCTGCAGAAACGGCCCGTGCTCGGTTACTCCTTCCTTCCTTCCTTCCTTTTCTCTCTCCTTCCTTCCTCCCCGTCTTCCTCCCTTTTCTTTTTTCTTTCCTTCCTTGTTTCCTTTTTTTCCTTTCCTCCTTCCCTTCTTTGTTTTTTCTCTGCTTCCTTTCTTTTTTTACTCTTTTCCTTCTTCCTTTCTTTCTTTCTTCCTTCCTTTCCTTCCTTTTTTCTTTATTCCTTCCTTCCTTTCCCTCCCTCCCTCCCTTCCTTCCTTCTTTCCTTTCTTCTCCATCCTTCCTTCCTTCCTCTTAAATACATCTTAAATGTACATTTATTTCTGCTGTAACACTCATTTGAAGGGTGGGGGGATTAGATCATTTAGGCGGCTTTACATGGTTATTCTTGCCGGAAATGGGCAATGGAGTCTTGTCTATTTTGAATGCCGATGCAACTGTTAAAATCTCCTAAGCCGCACTCATGTTGAGTTTAGCTAAAGTAAAGAGGCATGTTGCTATCGTCTGCAGTGGCCCTGCATTTTTCATGCGTCCTGTGGATTGAAAGAGAAATGGGGACTCTCCCGAGAGGAATGACAAAGGGGTGTGTGTGCTGTATTACTTCTTTCACAAAGCAACAGACTCCTTTCTCCACTGTGATGGGAGTTTTCTGGATTTGGTTTCTTGCATTTTGAGATTTATCTTTAGCTTTCGCTAAGGACACTGCTCAGGGTTCAGCCTCCCAAGAGCATGGTATCAAAGTCTATTCTTGATACTTTCCACCCAGTTTTCCAAAATGTTGTGGGAATGAAAGAGTGGAGAAAGCAGCATTTGAATAATACCATCATTCCTCCTTTCACAGCCCTAACCCTGAAGCTCTGCCATTGTTTAAACCAGTGATTTTCAACCTTGGCAAAGTTTAAAATGCGTGGACTTCCAACTCTCAGAATTCCCCAGCCAAGCCAATGCTGGGAGTTGAAGTCCACACATTTTAAACTTTGCCAAGGTTAAAAAACACTGAAGCCACCTGGCCTCTTTAAGATATGGCCACATTGGAAAAACACTTGTCTTGTATTTTCCCTGTCCTGGGAAAATAAACTTGAGTTCCAGTATATGGTCACTGCAGATTCTTAAATTTATACCTACAAACCGCATGCTAATGGATCAGAAGTCCATTTATACTCCACACCAAGACTGAAATAGTTTTGAAAGACACAGGCTAAGCAAGCTCACGCCGAAGATCCAATATCCTTGACTTAACAACAGTTTATTTCGTGACCGTTCCAAGTTACAACGGCACTGAAACACGTCAAACAATCATACACCCCATGTCTCACTTAGCAACGGAAATTTTGGGCTCGACTGTGGTCGTAAGTCGAGGATACCGTTATTTGCACACCCGGTTTATTTACCTAGCGAAGCCAAGAGCTTGCAAATGTCAAGACCTAGATCAGTGGTGGCGAACCTATGGCACGGGTGCCAAAGGCGGCACTCAGAGCCCTCTCTGTGGGCACATGCATTGTCGCCCCAGTCCTAGGACTTCAGCTGGGTTTTATAAAACCTTTTCGCTTTGGGCCTCCGCCGCCGTGTGCAAAAAAAAAAAAAGGTTCAATCAGTCAATTTCAACTTCTTGCGGGAAAAAAAAGATCTTGCAAAGTTGGAATTGATTGAACTTTTTAGTCCCACCCAGTCTTCCATTACCACCGCAGCCACGCCCACCTAATGGACCACACCCACCCAATAGGCCACACCCGCCCGGCACCCGATGATGCGTAAGTGGGTTTTGGGTTGCAGTTTGGGCACTCGGTCTCTAAAAGGTTCGCCATCACTGACCTAGATTGCAATCGAATTATGGGAAAAGACGCACCGGGATCTCAAAGGCACAATTCTAAGAAATGGCATCAAACGTTGGCGGTCAGGCTCTCGGATGTTTAAAACTATATTTCAGACTTTTAGGTCCTCAGCTTTGCTGCTTTATTGAACAATTGCAGTAGGATGGTGTCAAATCTATACACGGATAGATGGGATCAAGTTCAGGATAATACCCAGTTTGTAAACAGCTGGGTCAACGGGTCATCAAGAAGCGCAACGTCTATTTGTCGAGCTGCTTCTTGAGAACTTTGATGAACGCGTCCTTTGGCACCTCCACGTTCCCAATTCTCCTCATCTTCTTCCCTTCGGCTTGCCTCTTCAAAAGTTTCATTTTCCTGGTAATATCGCCTCCGTACTGTTAATAATAATAATAATAATTTTAAGGAGGAACCTGGTTGACACCTAGGATGCTGGTAGCAACCCGTGTCAACCATCAGCGCCAGCCAATTTGAATCTTCAATAGACTGAGGTCCACGTTTAATGAATAAAAGATACATATATATATATATATATATATATATATATATATATATATATATATATATATATGTATATGTCTTTGGTTATTCGGGTTTTCTTCCACGTAAAATTGGAAGTGTCTTGGCGACGTTTCGACGAAGTCCCATTCGTCATCTTCAGGCTGGTGTTTTCAGCTTCGTGCTTCGAGGAGCAATGTGTGGTCTTAGCTGTTTCTTCCTTTTAAGACCTCCTAAGACCACACATTGCTCCTCAAAGCACGAAGCTGAAAACACCAGCCTGAAGATGACGAATGGGACTTTGTCGAAACGTCGCCAAGACACTTCCAATTTTACGTGGGAGAAAACCCGAATAACCAAAGACCTACATACCAACACCCACGAAAACCTCAGAAAACACACACACACACACACATACACATATAATAATAATAATAATAATAATAATAATAATAATAATAATAATCATCTCCTTGGGTGCAATCCCAAAACAACTGGAGCACCACTTGAACACCATTGGCATTGACAAATTCGCTATTAGTCAATTGCAAAAGGCGGCCTTACTAGGAACTGCTTCCATCCTGCGACGATATCTGTAATACCGTCAAACATTCACATCTGCCTATCCCAGGTCCTGGGTAAGGACTTGATAGGTAGACAAAAATGCCAGATCCAGTCTGAACATCTGGCTGACTGTGCGATGATCCATAATAATAAATAATAATAATAATAATGTTTTCAGATGATCCGTGGAGTAAGTGCAACGGCTTCCTTCCAGACGCTGTGGGTGCTCCATTCCAACATTAGAAGTTTTAAAGAAGAGACTGGATGCCCACTTGTCTGAAATGGTGTTGGGCTTCCTGCCTGAGCAGGGGGTTGGACTAGATGACCTCCAAGGTCCCTTCCAACTCTGTGATTCTGTTATTAATGCCTATAAAGGAGAATATTTGTAGCTCAGGGTTGAAAGGAGGAGTCCTTGGTGCTCTCTGAGCTTGATTATTTTCTTGCATACGTTTCCTTACCCAAACTAGTTAAAATCTAGCACTGGTGATTGTTACCTAGTTGGGTCATGAGACGTCTGCAAGGAAAGAACCAAGCGCAGAGAGCACCAAGGACCCCACAGTCTTCCTCCCCCTCCCCCTCTCTGCAAATCCCCCTTCCTTCTTGCTTTGATGGTGTTATCTAGTTGGGTAATGAAATATCTGCAAGAAAACAAACTCGGAGCACCAAGGACTTCCCAATCCTTGTCCTTCTCTCCACACACCCTACTCCCTTCAAACACTGATGATACCACCTAGTTTGGTAATGAAACGTCTGCAAGGAAACAAGCTCAGAGAGCACCAAGGACCCCTCACTCCAGATTAATAACTCATAGTAGCAATCAGAAGACTACCAGTCCATGTGGGCACTTTTTTTCTGCATTGCTATTATCCTAAATAATAAGCTAAAAAACCATGAGAATTATATCAAACACTCCAGGTGAATTTAACCCAGGTTCAAACTTTAAATGAAATGGATTAAATCTTATTAAAAAAAAATGTGGCTAATTTACATTAAGAAGATTTTTTAAAAAAATGAAATACTAAACTCACAAAAACAGGAAAAAATGATACTTACACATTTTGCCAGAACATCTTTCCTAAAAGGTTTTATCCTGGAAAATAAAGGGAACCGAGTTGCATTTTAGAGGGATAATACTACAGGTTCCATAATTTGAAGTTCTGAAGCAGCAAGTAATCGTTAATTATGTGCTTTTAAACCTCGATGCTGCCTTTCCAATCAGCAGGTCTAAGAAATCAAATCAAATCAATAATGCCCTTTTGTCACTGAGCAGCTACTTAAGAGTTAATCTTTAGTCTTGTTTTCTAATTTATTTAAATAAAGTTTCCATTTTCAAGTTACTGGAATGTAATATTGGAGATATATATATGTATGTATGTATGTATGTATGTATGTATGTATATGTATATGTATATATATATATATTCTTTTAACCACCCTGTAATCCTTTGCATCGGGGTGGAGTTGAGACGACTGAATGGAGCTGAGCATTTACTGGCTGGATACCCTTCCTGACACCTATGTGAAGTTCACAGTAGACAATTATTCATTGTGCCCAGAGAGAGAAATATCTGCCGTTACCTAACATCGAACTCACAGATTGTGAGGCGAGAGTTCCACCTCTAGGTGCTCATATAATTGGATATGTTATGTATAATATAATCAGCCTATTTTTCATATATCAAAAAGAACATTTTTATCAGGGAAAATTTTGACATATGCTGTTCAAGAGAATCTCCTTTCTTCCGTTTTAAATGTTTTATGTATTTTAATTTTTATTCCTTTTGTGGATGGTCGCCAAATAGTCATAAACTGCAAATTGCATCATTTCAGCTATTATGGAAACCCAGTCCTCCGTGCCACCTATTCCCTCTAAGGAATCTTCGTGACTAAGGACTAAATTCCATGTTAATATTCAGATGATATTCATATTAATGGCCTGAATCTGAAGTGTCATAATGCTCGTAAGTCACTTTTTTCCCCGTGCTGTTGTAACTCTGAACGGCCACTAAGCGAACTGTTGTAAACTGAGCATAAGTAGTCACTAAAAAAAATTTCCGAAGAGAATTGAAAAAGAAAAGAAAGCTACACAGTTATCTTTTAAAACCAAGTTAAGCATATCGACTTACGTTTCTCTGGCAATTATTTTGTTTCCGAGAGCTGCCTGGATAGCGATTTCAAACATTTGCCTGGGAATAAGGTCTCTTAATCGTTCACACATGGCTTTACCAACAGAGTAGACTTTCTCTCTGGAAAAGAAAAGGTGGAAGAATGGGTCTGTCCTGGGTCTTTTCCCAGAAATCATGAACAGTGGACAGCAGATGTCGGGCTAAGCCTAAGAATGATGTTAAAAAAAATAAATCAAGCCAGGATCCAGTTCTTGCTTACAGACAATCGGCAAAATCTTGCCAGACTTTAGTACTCTCATCCCGATAGATCAGTGGTTCTCAACCTTTTTAATGCCGCGACCCCCCAACTGGTTGTAAGTCAAGGACTACTCAACCGGTTGTAAGTTGAGGACTACTCAACTGGTGCAGCACCCTTTGCAGAATGGGACTTTTGGCGGGCTCAGCAGGGCAGAGACAGCCTGGACAATTCCTATTGGCTTTTGAAAGCCAATAGAATTAGACTCTATTCAAGAGAGTCTACTCTATTGGCTTTCAAAAGCCAATAGAATAAAAGGGAGTAGCACAGCTAAGGAAAAGGGGGGAAAAATGGCGGACTGCGTTGTTTGGCGACCCCCGTGAAATGGTCGTTCCACCCCAAATGGGGTCCTGACCCACAGGTGGAGAACCGCTGCGATAGATATATCCTGGGAGATTGTAGGAAGTGGCTGTCTTCAGCGCTGCCCTGTCTTCAGAGCCTTTTTGTCATGTGTTTCCTGGAAAACTGCCTCTTCACTGTACTTTTATCGCAACAGCTCCGTGGACACATCTCTTATGTCGACACAACTCTTGCGTGAGAACCTCAACAATGGTGTCCAAAGCCACCCCCATCCTGGAACCCAAGTTTGTGAACCGTTTCCCTGGGTACATCCATCTTCTTGGAAAGGCAACTGTTTTTCTAGCTCAGTGGTTCTCCACCTGTGGGCCGGGACCCCATTTGGGGTCGAACGACCATTTCACGGGGGTCGCCAAACAACGCAGTCTGCCATTTCCCCCCCCCCCTTTTCCTTAGCTGTGCTACTCCCTTTTATTCTATTGGCTTTTGAAAGCCAATAGAATAGACTCTCTTGAATGGAGTCTCATTCTATTGGCTTTCAAAAGCCAATAGGAATTGTCCAGGCTGTCTCTGCCCTGCTGAGCCCGCCAAAAGTCCCATTCTGCAAACGGTGCTGCCCCAGTTGAGTAGTCCTCGACTTGCGACCGGTTGGGGGGGGGGTCGCGGCATTAAAAAGGTTGAGAGCCACTGTTCTAGCTTGATCCTTTTCGTATTCAGCATAGTATATTTCAGTGTTTCTCAACCTGGACCATTTTAAGGCCTGTGGACTTCAACTCCCAGAATTCCACAGCCAGCGTTGCTGGCTGTGGAATTCTGGGAGTTGAAGTCCACATGCCTTAAAATGGTCAAGGTTGAGAAACACTGGTATATTTATTGGTCTGGATCTCTAAAAAGGTATGAATATATCTCCTGGCTTCAGACTCTTCATAGAACAGATTTATCGGCTTCTGGTCTCGATTAAGTAATTCTGCTTTCGTAACCTGCTTGCTCAATCTCCCTGCGATATATTCAAATCTTAAAACTTCTCAATGCAGGGTTTTTTTTTTAAAAAAAACATGCTAATATTTTCCATTTCAACTTAGGGAAGGCTAAATAATTGCAATTCTACCCAGGGAAAGATTTAAACTATGAGACGGATAATGTCTATGTGGCAAAACCAAGAATCTTTAAAAAAAAAAAAAGTAGTTGAAGACTTTAAACAAAACCAGGAAATCACCCTTAAAATAGATAATTTCTCCAATCCAGAGGACAGGATTCTGTCCTGTTATCATTCATACTTCAGAGTTTACTTGTTTAACAATTTAAACTTTCAACGGCAAGGATGTTGGTTCACATACACCCCGTCCCCAGAATAAAATGCATGGAAAATTAATACGTGGTTTGGGTAGCTTATTCAAATGATATTATGATTTTTGAAAATGAATGTGCGTGTGCGATTGGCTTACCTAGGCACAATGGTTATCAGCTCTTCTACCGCTTTTCCGTTCAATAAAATATCCACTTTGACGAGATCCGCAGGCTGGTATCCTGCATCTTCATAGTCAAAACTGAAAACAACAGGGTACATCATGTTTGAATGTTCTAAAACGGCTCAGCAATCTAGCATCGGATCTCCCGGCTTCAAAATTACACAAATCAAACATCTCATTTTCAAAATAAGTTAATAGAATCTAGCATTGGATCTCCCAGCTTCAAAATTACACAAATCAAACATTTTCAAAAAAAGTTTAGCACCAGATCTCCCAGCTTCAAAATTATACAAGCACGGAACGTCTTACCGTAATAACCAAGTGAACTTACCTGGCATAGCCGGACGATAAGGATTTCAATGCATCGAAGAAATCCACTACAATTTCATTCAGTGGGAAGAGATAAACCATCATGACTCTCTGTTCATCAATGTACACCAGGTCCTTCTGAACGGCTCTTCGTGTCTGGCAAAACGACACAAAATGAGATGAACAACCTAAGATAAGAAACTTTGGCCAAATGTTAGATGAATATAATAATTAAAAAATGAGCCGGGCAATTAATGTAGCAAATGATATGGTCAGGTTTCAGGGTTTCTTGTCTAGGGAGATTTTGCCAAGAAAGCTGGACTTTGTTTTTTTTTTTTTCCTTGAAGACGTTTCGCTTCTCATCCAAGAAGCTTCTTCAGTTCTGACTGGACTTTCTTCGTTTTTCCTTGAAGACGTTTCGCTTCTCATCCAAGAAGCTTCTTCAGTTCTGACTGGACTTTCTTCGTTTTTTCCTTGAAGACGTTTCGCTTCTCATCCAAGAAGCTTCTTCAGTTCTGACTGGACTTTCTTCGTTTTTCCTTGAAGATGTTTCGCTTCTCATCCAAGAAGCTTCTTCAGTTCTGACTGGACTTTCTTCGTTTTTCCTTGAAGATGTTTCGCTTCTCATCCAAGAAGCTTCTTCAGTTCTGACTGGACTTTCTTCGTTTTTTTCCTTGAAGACGTTTCACTTCAGAACGTCGCAAAAGGGGATCACATGACTCCAGAACACCACAACCGCCATAAATACGAGTCAGTGTCTGAATTTTGATCATGTGACCTTGGGGATGCTGTGGAAAAACAGTCTTCAGTCACCTTTTTTTTCATTGTAATTTGGAACGGTCACTGAAGGAACTGTTGTACGTTTGAGGACCACCTGCAGAATCAATCTTGGTTTATGGCAGCTGAAGGTGAGAAGCATTAACTTGATTAAAGGGATGACCTTATGATAACCGACAATATTTTTTTTTAATTAGCCTGCGATGTGTGTAGCAGGTGGAGAGCTACTGATTTAGAATTCAGAAAAATGGCTGCAGATAATTACACTCCCTGATGCCCCCTGAGCTCAGTCAGACTTATTAAGCAACTGCGAAGGCTGTCTGAAATATGTCTGTGAAGATTCTCCGTCATCCAGGTCAGGGTTGTCCCAAAGGTGCTTTTTTTCAGGAGGCAACTGGACTTTCTCGTTTTTCGTGGAAGACATTTCGCTTCTCATCCCAGAAGGTTCCTCAGCTCTGACTGGATGGTGAAGGAATGCAAGGATTTATACTCCTTGCAGACAGCTGGTCATTTGCATTCTTTTAGAGAGTCGTTGAGGCCATGTGGAGGGTGGGAAAAGGAAGGATTTATACTCCTTGCAGAAAACTGGTCATTTGCCTTCTTTTAGAGGGTCGTTGAGGCCACTTGGAGGTTCTTCTGTGTCCTGGGGGTCACCTGAGTGGCGCAAATGGGTGTGGAGCCTTCTTGGAACTGCTGAAAGGACTGTGTGGTAGACTGAAGGTAGATGATCTAGTCCTTTCAGCGGTTCCAAGAAGGCTCCACACACATTTGCACCATTCAGGTGACCCTGAGGACACAAACAAACCTCCCAGTGGCCTCAATGACTCTCTAAAAGGAAGCAAATGACCAGCTCTCTGCAAGGAGTATAAATCCTTCCCTTCCCCACCCTCCAGGCAGAGCTGAAGAAGCTTCTGGGATGAGAAGTGAAACGTCTTCAAAGAAAAAACAGAACGTGTAGTTGCCTCTTGAAAACGCCCCTTTGGAACAACTGAGGACACAGATAAGCCTCCAAGTGGCCTCAAGGACTCTCTAAAAGAAGGCAAATGACCAGCTGTCTGCAAGGAGTATAAATCCTTCCGTTCCCCACCATTCAGGCAGAGCTTAAGAAGCTTCTGGGATGAGAAGCGAAACGTCTTCAAAGACAACACAACAAACTCAATTTACCACCTGAAAAAGCATCGTTGGGGCTCTCAGAAATACGCCCTCCTTGCACAGGCGCTCTGCACCTTATGTACCAACCTGGCAAAGAGCTAATATTTCTCCAATATATTCCTTAGGCGTGACCACAGTGCCTAACACAAATGGCTCCAGGTATTCTTTCACCACGGAACTGTCAGGAAACTCTGCAGGGTTTATGATTGTGATTTCCTCTTTTTTATACTCCTGCAAAATAAGAAAAGAGAACTGCTAGCTGGGTATTTTTCAAGTTTCTTAGTTTTTTTTAAAAAAGCTCTCTAAATGATTCCCCCCCCCCCAAAAAAAAACCCGTATACAGGTAGTGAGCTAAAACATCTTTTCTGAATTGTGGCTAATCAAATTATCCAACATATAAATGATAGAGGGCCAAAATTAGGGCCGATAAGGGAGACTTTGCTGATTTCCTGGCTGTGACAAATGAAGCAAAAAACATCATATTTATCACCTAGGCCAGGGGTAGGCAAGCTTGGCTCTTTTATGACTGGTGGACTTCAACTCCCAGAATTCCTGAGCCAGCCTGGCTCAGCTTGGAAACCTCTCCCTTTCCCCTCAGCGTGGCTGGCTCAGGAATTCTGGGGGTTGAAGTCCACGAGTCATAAAAGAGCCAAGGTTGCCTGCCCTTGGCCTAGACATACACTGATAATATTTTAAGATTTTCTATTTCACATTTTGTATTTTTATTAATTATTATCCAAATTTGATGTGAATGCGCCGCACGATAAATATATATTCTTGAGGAAAATGTCTTAACTGAGAGCTCCATAACATAACTCCTGGAGCATTAAACTAAATGACGGAAATCGTAATAATTATGCTCAATTTATCCCTCAGGCACTGACGATTTGAGAATATATATATATATATTCCTTTTGAAAATCATCACCTTTATCAATTTTGGAGAAGAAAGGATTGCCTTGTATGGAACGGTGGGGGCTGTCAAGATGACCGACGCGTTGTGTTCTTGCTCCAAGCGCTGATTAAAAACTTCCATATGTAGAAGGCCAAGGAACCCCAATCTGTAAATGCAACATTTCCATTGACATTTTTAAAGGTACCAATCGGCAATTTGCTAAACTAAACATCTTCAATTTCCAAGCCAAATTAAAAAAAAAAAACATGTTCCCAATGTTGCAGTTCACTAGTAAGAAGTCCTGATTTTAGCCATGCACCAATATAAAACACAAATGAGGAAAATTACAATCCATTTCGATAATTCCACTGAAAATCACAAGCCATAAAAGATCAGTAAAAATTAAAGACTGCTAGTGCAATTCTACAACATTAAGACACACATAAGACAACGTCTTCAAAGAAAAGCAAGAAAGCCCAGTAAGGCACCACTGAGGACACAGATAAACCTCCAAGTGGCCTCAATGACTCTCTAAAAGAATGCAAATGATCAGCTGTCTGTAAGGAGTATAAATCCTTCCGTTCCTCACCATCCAAGTCAGAGCTGAAGAAGCTTCTGGGATGAGAAGCGAAACGTCTTCAAAGAAACACAAGAAAGTCCAGTTGCCTCCTGAAAAAGACTCTTTGGGATCCAGCTTGCTGCGTTTTACTAAAGGAGACTTAAACCCAAAAATATCAACAAATGCCGGGGCACTCACCTCCACCCAGCTCCCAAAGCCAGGCTGCTGTCACATTGAACAGCAACACTTGAGTCATTGAGGGTCAGTTTTTCTAAGGCGCTTTTCAAGTTGGAATATTCAGACTGGTCCGTTGGAAACACTCCTGTCCAAGCAGAAAGTGGTTTTAAGCCAGAAAAGCAATCGTAGATATCCTTTACATCACGGGTGTGTGCAACCATGGCAACCTGGAAGACTTGTGGACTTCAACCGATAGCTGGCTGGGAATTCTGGGAGCTGAAGTCCACAGGTCTTCAAGTTGGCATGGTTTTAGGTGATTCTGCACTGCAAATTAGATCCCTTTAATACTGTTGGCGTTTTTGGAAGTGCTTGACCACGGTCTTCTTCTTTCTCAGGTGACAGGGACAGGCCCAAGGTCATCCAACTGGAATTCAGGCCTAAGGGAGGACTTGTTCCCGGATTCCAGTCCCAACACCTTTGGCAAACTTGTGAACAGGCGTGTGTTTTCAAACACATTTAGGGTGCCATGTTAATGACCTCCCAGGCAAATGTTTCACCAAGATGGCTGCCCCAGACATTTCTGCTACCTTTCTCTCTGCCACATATAGATTCCAGCTGAATGGAAAATTCCTGAAAGAGGCATGTTGGCCATTTCTCCAGTGCAGAAGAAATTCAAAGTTTTTTTAAAACATGAGTTTATTAGTAAATCTGTTTGTCCGTCTGTCCGTCCATCCATCCATCCATCTATATCTATTCATCTATCTCTATTCATCCACCTACATCTCTATCCATATCTCTACATCTCTACCCATATATATATTTTCATTTATTTTTTTTTGTGGCTGACAAAGAGTTAAGTGGGAGACTAGTATAGCTATTTCAAGCGCTTTAGCTCTCATCAGCTAGTCATACCCCTCTGGGATTCGAACCTGGGCAACTTGCATGTTAGGCAGTTGTATTAACCTTCTGAGCCACAGGTTCCCCACACTCCTGTCAGCAGAAACCAGGGAGGATATATATCTCTGTGTTGGCTGGAACACCTGGTCTACCAAGTATAGGATAAATCAGTCTGTTCTGCATTTCGCTCCAATCTAGGAGCATGTTTTGCAGGGAGACGTCACATACTGTGAACACTGTAAATTCAAAAAAAATTGTGGCTGACAAAGAGTTAGTGGGAGACTAATATAGCTATTTCAAACTCTTTAGCTCTCATCAGCTAGTCATACCCCTCTGGGATTCGAACTTGGGCAACTTGCATGTTAGGCAGTTGTATTAACCTTCTGAGCCACAGGTTCCCCACACTCCTGTTAGCAGAAACCAGGGAGGATATATATCTGTGTTGGCTGGAACACCCGGTCAACCAAGTATAGGATAAATTAGTCTGTTCTGCGTTTTGCTCCAATCTAGGAGCATGTTTTGCAGGCAGACGTCACATACTGTGAACACTGTAAATTCAAAAAATTTTGTGGCTGACTAAGAGTTAATGGGAGACTAGTATAGCTATTTCAAGTGCTTTAGCTCTCATCAGCTGGTCATACCCCTCTGGGATTCTGACTTCCATCTCTCCCTCCCCCCCCCTCTCTCTCTCACACACATACACACCACACAGACACAGGGGTGTGGTAAAGAGCTGTAAAACCCCGGCCACTGGATCTCTATTGGGAGGGAGTGGGTAACAGAAACATGGAAGCCGTGAATTCTACTACTGCCTTGGGTGAATGTTGGGCCAGTCCTTCTCTCTCAGCCTTTGGAAGAAGTCAAGAGCAAACCCCTTCTAAAAATGTTGCCAAGAAAACTGCAGGAACTGCTGGACTCCAGGCAGCCCCAACTGACTTAAACACCTGCTCCCCCCGGCCCCATAGTTTGACTGGGTGCACCTCACCTGCGAAGACCATGGGTTTGGCAGATTTAAACCCAGGAAGCGGCTCCACGGGTTGGTTATGCAAATAGACCGTATCTCCTATTTGAGCATCCGTAATCTCTCTCATCCCAGCGATCATATATCCAACCTGGCCGGCGTATCTAAACGAAAGTTTTATTATATTACATGCAGATGTTTCAGGTCACAGCAGATAAGCCGATTAGGAATAGGGTTCCACCAGCTGTACAATTCTGCAAAAAGATTGTTGGGCATTGGAAAAGTTGCACCGAGTTGCAAATTAAAGGGAAACCCACTGGTTCCCTACAGGTCCTAATTTATGAAGAAGGAGAAGACATTCTAGAATCCCATAATCTGATTTTATCCACTAGACCAGGGGTAGGCAACCTTGCCTCTTTTATGACTCGTGGACTTCAACTCCCAGAATTCCTGAGCCAGCATGGGGGAACTATGGCCCCTTCATGACTTGTGGACTTCAACTCCCAGAATTCCTGAGCCAGCACGGCTCATCTTGGAAACCTCTCCCTTTCCCCTCAGCGTGGCTGGCTCAGGAATTCTGGGAGTTGAAGTCCATGAGTCATCAAAGAGCCAAGGTTGCCTACCCCTGCTCTAAATGTAGCATGACAACATTCCAAATATATTAAGGGGGGAAAAAACCCACAACTTTACTCAAACAATAACAACAATTCCATCCCAGCCATTAGAATAAGAAACCAAGCTACTTCCAAAGAGCTACTTCCATAATATTTCCTCTTAATTTGCTTTCCAAAACTTACAGCTTTTGGGTTGGCTGCTCGTTGGGCGTCAAAATCCCAATTTCATGAACTTCGTAAATCTTCTTCGTGTGAGCAGTTGTGATCTTGTGTCCTTTATGAATTTCTCCACTCAGCAGTGCGATGTTTGCAATCACCCCTCGGTAAGTATCGAAAGTAGAATCGAACACCAAGGCTTTCAGCGGCTCGTGGATATTAACTGCCGGCCTGTTTTTATAAGGACAAACAGATATCACAAAACCTGTAGGAAGCTACTGCTCAGAATCCATGTGACAGGAAAGCCAACTTACGGAGGGATCTTTTCAATGACTTCCTGAAGTATTCTTTCAACATTTGTTCCAAGTTTAGCTGAAATCTGAAAGAAGTTAAAATAAGCCAATTTGGCCTCGTTTGAGGGATGCAAACTAGCACAAGGCACCCGCCCACCGATGCTTCCATTGTAATATTCCTTACGTAGTATCTGAAAAATTCTTGCACAGGAATAGCACCCAAAATACGTTTATTTGACAATCACAACCACTCATTTCCCAACAGAAGTCCAGAACTATTTCAGCAAAGCAAACATCAAGATAGAGTAAGTAGCCACAGCTGTAAAAGGAGTTTCTTTCAAAACTTTTAGCTTTCCTACAGCCAACTGGAAAGATTGAAAGAGGAAGAAGAAGAAGAAGAAGAAGAAGAAGAAGAAGAAGAAGAAGAAGAAGAAGAAGAAGAAGAAGAAGAAGAAGAAGAAGAAGAAGAAGAAGAAGAAGAGAAGAAGAAGAAGAAGAAGAAGAAGAAGAAGAAGAAGAAGAAGAAGAAGAAGAAGAAGAAGAAGAAGAAGAAGAAGAAGAAGAAGAACTAGGAGTTAAAATTAACTGGTGGAGTGTGTGTGTGTGTGTGTGTGTGAGAAAGAGAGAGAGAGAGAGAGGAGGAAGAATGAAGGAAGAAAGGAAGGATGGAAGAAAGGAGAAGAGAACCAAAAAGAAGAATACTTCATTTGACCAAGTGTGATCAGACACACAAAGAATTTGAGAAGGAAGGAAGGAAAGGAAGGAAGGAAGGGGAGGAGTGAGTGAGGGAGGAAGGAAGGAATTAAGGAAGGGGAGAAGGGAGGAAGGAAGGAAGGAAGGAAGGAAGGAAGGAAGGAAGGAAGGAAGGGCATAATTAACTAGATTCAGCTGCCAAACCCAAACAATGAAATGATCCATACTCTCAGATTTGACTGTCAATCACTGCAGCAAATATCAGCCTCCAACATGATCTTAGGAAAATCTCTGCATAAAACAGAACCACATACCTATCACTCTTCCGTATCACGGTCGATGACAACAGCTGTAATCCTACACACATTCACAATAAACTGCATTTAATGGAATTTAAAGCAATTTGCTTCAGAATAGACTGCCATTGTAGTGCATTGTTAAGAAAATTACTTCGTTTATCTAACTGAACCATTTCTACATATAAAAAAAAAAATTTGCACTTTCCAAATACAGGTATTCGTAAACTGAAGAAGGGGGTTCTTACTCTAATGCAATCCTCTTTGAGAATATCAAAGGTGTTCTCAATTTGATTTTCCACCACCTCTGGATTTGCATTCTTGAGGTCGATCTGCAAAATAATGCTACTGTTATGTTATTCAAATTAGACCAGTCCCCGCCATGCAAGCAAAGCTGGAATTCCATTGTGACAAAATACATATACACTGATACTGGGGACGAGGGCCATGGGGTGATATTTGTGCATTTAGCTAAGGTGGCGCAGCAGTTAGAGTGCAGTACTGCAGGCCACTTTAGCTGACTGTGTTCAGCAGGTCAGCGGTTCAAATCTCACCGGCTCAAGGTTGACTCAGCCTTCCATCCTTCCGGGGTAGGTAAAATGAGGACCCAGATTGTTGGGGGCAATGTAAATATATATATAGATATATATACATTGCTTACTGGTGTACACCGCTTAGAGAGTGCTTGCACTTAAAGCGGTATATAAGTCTCATAAATAAATAAATAAATTTACTGTTGTTAATTTTTTACCAATAACCTGAATAAACATCTGGATCTTTTAAGGCAAAGAGGATTATTTACAGCAAATATATGAAATAGCTTGACAAATAAAACTGTAATCTTAGAAAGTGCCTAAAATCAGTCCTCATTTAAAAGAAAAAAAAAATCCAGTTTGGTTAAAGCACCAGGCTAAAAACCAGGAGACGGTGAATTCTAGTCCTGCCTTAGGTACGAGACCAAGCTGGGTGACTATGGACCAATCGCCAGGAGACAGTAAGTTCTAGTCCCGCCTTAGCCAAAAAAACCAGCTGGGTAACTTTGGGACAATCACCAGGAGACGGTGAGTTCTAGTCCTGCCTTAGCCATGAAAGCCAGCTGGGTGACTCTGGGCCAATCACCAAGAGATGGTGAGTTCTAGTCCTGCTTCGGGCATCAAAGTGGCTGGATGATTTTGGGCCAGTCCTCCACTCTCAGCCCAATCCACTTCACAAAATTGTTGTTATGGGGAAAATAGGAGTTGAAAGCATTGTGTACTGCCCCTTGAGTTCCTCAAAATGAAATCAGGATATAAATCAGACAATATTTTACCACTTTGTGGCCGGGTCGAAGAAAGAAGACAGGCACAAACAGAACCGGGCGCGCGTTTTCCTTCAGATAAACTCCACTGGGTTTTCAGAGTTTGCTCCAGCAAAGCTTAAACATCTGTCTTCATTTTTAATCGTTCTGTCTCAATGTTTGTTTTATCTTTTTACCATGCTCTAAAACAGTGGTTCTCAACCTGTGGGTCGGGACCCCATTTGGGGTCGAACGACCATTTCACGGGGGTCGCCAAACAACGCAGTCCGCCATTTTTTTCCCCTTTTCCTTAGCTGTGCTACTCCCTTTTATTCTATTGGCTTTTGAAAGCCAATAGAATAGACTCTCTTGAATAGAGTCTAATTCTATTGGCTTTCAAAAGCCAATAGGAATTGTCCAGGCTGTCTCTGCCCTGCTGAGCCCGCCAAAAGTCCCATTCTGCAAACGGTGCTGCACCAGTTGAATAGTCCTCGACTTACGACCGGTTGAGTAGTCCTCGACTTACGACCGGTTGGGGGTCGCGCCATTAAAAAGGTTGAGAACCACTGCTCTAAGCCGTCCAAAGTGGTTGCATTAGGGAGACGGGCGGCACTTCAATTTAAAAAAAATAAATATAACAAGCAGCTCTAAGTCCAAATCGTCCAACATGACTCAACGTTTAAGAGATGGGAAGAAAGTGGAAAGTTAAACTAAGCAAAATCTGAAAGACAAAATGAAATATCAAGAGAGAACAAGGACTAACATCAGGAAATTATGACGTTAACATAATTTAACATTGGCTTTAAAACTAAGAAACAGCAGGAAAAGCCAGCCATGACACCTAGCATAGTACTATCCCTCTATTACTGGTCTCTGACTGTTCAAACTTACAACAGCACTGAAAAATGTGATTTACGACTGATTTTTCACACTTACAACCTTTGCTGCATCCCCGGGGTCACGTGATCCAAATTTCAGACACTTGGCAACTGACTAGTACTTATGACTGTTTCGGTATCCCAGGGATCACATGATCCCCTTTTGGGACTTTCCGACAAGCGAAGTGCAATGGGGAATCCAGATTCACTTAACAACCAGATTACTACCTTAACAACTGCATGGATTCACTGTTTGCAAAATATCTCAAATTAACTGCTGCTCCGGAGAATGCAGGAATCTTACCTTATTTATAACAGGAATGATTGAGAGTTGGGCTTCGTAGGCGAGGTAAAAATTGGCCACAGTTTGAGCCTGGATACCCTAGAAAAAATGAATTTCGAAGAGTTTCACAGTAATGTTTTACGTCGTCTGCAAAAAAGCTGCTTAAGCAGAACAGAGACCCCCAAGAAATCTATTGATATAGCAACGGAGCTGAAGTTAAGTTTTTCTGCTCGTACTTATGAAAGAAAGATCAGCTATAAAGAAACAGTGAAAACAGAGCAAATAACATTTGTTTTTAATTGCTAGTTTGGTTTAGCTAAAGAAGCTCTCCTGTTCCAGGGACAAATACAACACTTGTAATGATTAAATTCCTATCCCACAAGGTTGTTTTGAGAACTGCAGCTTATCCCATCTTAAGGATACCTTTTTAGAGTAAAGGTGTCCATCTATTAAGTGCCCGTAATGCAAAAAACAATTCTCTCCTATTGTGTTATTTTATATTTTTCATTTAGGCTTCACCTTTGTAGTTCAATAAGGACCCAAGATGGCTCATGTTTTTTTTTTTAAGTTTTGTTTGCAGTTAACTTAAAAATAAATACTAAAACCAATTGGCAGTTAGAAAGCTGAAGAAGGAGAAAAATCTCTACAGATTTTTCCAAACCCCAACACAACAGCAGCAGACTCTGACTTACTGGCTGCATTTTAACCCTCTTTTTAAAATAACTCTTGCATCTCAAGAAGGAAATTTTGCTCCTTTTTTAAAAAAATCTTTTTTCACAAAGTTAACAGTTGGGGATAGTAAAATAGGTACTGTAAGTTAAGTTTTACCCCAAGTTTTTTTAAAAAAAATCTTGGCTGAAAAATATATTGAGATGGTTTGGGCAAATGTATCTATACAGGAAGGCAGAATCCAGCTATTTTGTATGAATATATGCACATTGTGAAGTTCAACTGATCGAAAAAGAGCTTGCATTGTTATGGATCTTGCAAACATCTAAGTTTTTGGGGAAAAAATACAATGTCTTGTTTCGGGCAAAAATAGCATTGTTGGTCATGAGCCCACAGCAGAAGAAAGCATGAAAAGAAGATTTATTCCAGGTAAAACATCATAGCTGCTGTTTTACTGACAATCTTGAAGGTTCCTAAATCAGGTTCATAAAAGACTCCAGAACAAGAGCAATAAAATAACATGGTGTTTGATTCAATAGCTTAGTAGTTCAACAATACTTTAACCATTTGGAAGGATCAATCGCAAGAGAAGTATTTTGCGGTATGGAAAAAATGGATAGATTTTATACAATATAAGTTGGATATAAAAAATATTATTTAGTTTTTTAATAACTTATACTTAAAATTTAAAATATCTTATAGACTTTACTTTTTTTTATTTTTACTTTTTATTTTTATTATACTTTCTTTTATCTTTTTCTTTTTTCTTCCTCTTTATTCTTTTTCCTTTTAAGTATTTTTCTCTTGGTATTTATGTTTTTCTATATATATATATTATTGTTAATTATTTCATAATTTGTTTAATTAATGTATTTAGATTTATTCATGGTTTATATCTTTTTAAAGATTTTTTGAAGAAATTTTAATTAAGCCTATATTCAGCTCTGGGAAGGTCGGGGGAGGGAATGGGAGGGTTGGGGAGGTTTGGGGAAGGGTTGTTTTGTTTTTGTAAAATTTTAAAAAATTTTCAATAAAAATGTATTTATAAAAAAAAAAATACTTTAACCATTTGTATCCCTAATTGAGGCCTTTGAACTCTGGTGCTGGAGAAGACTCCTGCGAGTCCCCTGGACTGCAAGGCGATCAAACCGGTCAGTCCTAGAGGAGATCAACCCCAACTGCTCTTTAGAAGGCCAGATCCTGAAGCTGAAACTCAAGTACTTTGGCCACCTAATGAGAAGGAAGGACTCACTGGAGAAGGGCCCGATGCTGGGAAAGATGGAGGGCAAGAGAAGAAGCGGACGACAGAGAATGAGGTGGCTGGATGGAGTCACTGAAGCAGGAGGCGTGAGCTTCAATGGACTCCAGATGATGGTAGAGGACAGGAAGACCTGGAGGAACGTTGTCCATGGGGTCGCGATGAGTTGGACATGATTTCACAACTAACAACAACATCCCTAATTCCTTCATCTGTCTAGTTCAAGGGTCTTCTATCTTGGCCCTTTTATGACTTGTGGACTTCAACTCCCAGAATTCCTCAGCCAGCCACGTAAGTTTGAAGACCCCTGGTCTAGTTCTTAGGAACTTGACACAGGCATCCCCATCTCTGAAAATCCTTAATACAGCTTAAAAATGCAAATTAATACCGACAGACATTTCACGTGTTCCAAATTATTCTTTCATTCAGTTCATTTAAGGTTCCTGACTAGGATCACCAACTCCTGTTTCTTTTACAGGGCTGCCACGCCTACGAGAGAACCCGTTTGGTCCTTTTTCCCTCCCATTTTTAAAAAGTTATTTAACCGAGCTGTTGGTTTGGAGAGCCAGTTTTCCACAGCCATATTTGGAACCCGGGAAAGCCCTTTTCGTTCCATGAGAAACAAAATTCAACTTCCTTTCGAAACACTTACCTGATTTGCATCTACCACTAAGAGGACTCCTTGACAAGCCGACAGAGATCGCGACACTTCGTAGTTAAAATCCACATGACCCTGAGCAAAAGGAAAGACACATCTGATGAAGAACATCAACAGATAGTCATGAAGGCGTCACCTAGGTTGACTCGGCCTTCCGTCCTTCCGAGGTCGGTCAAATGAGGACCCAGACTGTTGGGGGCCCACAGGCTGACTCTGTAAACCGCTTAGAGAGGGTTATAAAGACCTGTGAAGCGGTATATAAGTGCTATTGCTATTCCTTCTCTCCCTCCCTCCCTTCTGCCATGGTGGCGCAGTGGTTAAAATGTAGCACTGCAGGCTAACTCTGTCAACAGTTCGATTGTGACCAGCTCAAGCTTGACTCGGCCTTCCATCCTTCCGAAGTTGGTAAAATGAGGACCCAGATTGTTGGGGGCAATAGGCTGACTTTGTAAACCCCTTAGAGAGGGCTGTAAAGCACTGTGAAGTGGTATATACTGTAAGTCTAAGTCAGGGGTAGGCAACCTTGGCTCTTTTATGATTCGTGGACTTCAACTCCCAGAATTCCTGAGCCAGCCTGGTTCAGCTTGGAAACCCTCCCTTTCCCCTCAGCATGGCTGGCTCAGGAATTCTGGAAGTTGAAGTCCACGAGTCATAAAAGAGCCAAGGTTGCCTATCCCTGGTCTAAGTGATATTGCTATTCCCTTCCTGCCTCCCTCCCTTCCATAACTCTGCCCACTGCTAGGAGTTCGATCTTGACAGGCTGAAGGATGACTCAGCCTTCCATCCTTCCGAGGTTGGTAAAATGAGGACCCAGATTGTTGGGGGGGGGGGAAGATGCTGACTCTGTAAGCCCCTTAGAGAGGGCTGTAAAACACCGTGAAGCGGTATATAAATCTAAGTCCTATTGCTATCTGACCCTCTGCCCATTTATCAGAAGAATCTCAAACCAATTTCAATTCATTACTGCACATCCCTCTTCTTTTCTCTTAGGTACATGCAAAGCGATGGTGAAAAAACAAACTTTCCACAGCAGGAATAAATGGCTGCTACCTCAATCTCTTTACTGGCATAAAAAGAACTGGCTGAAGTTACGTGGGTTGCAGGTGGCTATGTGGACATAAAAAATGGCGGGGCTTCAATTGCCTGGTTCCGCCTGCCATTTTGACCCCTGATGACGCCCCAGGGATTTACGGCTTTGCGCTTGGGATCTCCCCATTGTTAAGGGATTCCTTCCAGACTTCTGTTATCTCGTAATGAAAATGTCTGGCTGTTTTAAACAGCCTGACCCTTAAGCCTCATGGAATGAAGTAGCTCTATTAGCGGGGAAAGGGATTATGGTTAGGGATTAATTAGCTGCTGCATTTTCACGCCTGTTTTGAGAACCATGGGGAATTCATCTAAGCTCAACAGAAGGGTTGCTTAGGGTTAATACAGTATATCAGGAGGGGAGAGTCTTGGCCCAGCCTAAACACGCAACCAGCTGGACTGCAGCCACCGTCTTTGCATTTCTGCTTTGCTGTCAAGTCCTCCTAGTTCACAACCCACAGTGCACTTACAGGCGTATCAATGAGATTTAAGAGGTAATTGGTTCCTTGGTGGTTATAAATGAGGGAAGCCGTCTGGGCTTTGACTGTGATTCCTCTTTCTCGTTCCACCTGCAGTTTATCCAGCACTTGTTTATTATGGCCGGTTTTGGCAATGGCTCCTAGAGGATCAAAGACAGTCACAGTGAAGGTGACAGTTGCATTCTCTTCCCAAGGGAGGGTCCATGGTCCACTACAGAGCCCACCCAATGAATCCCCCGTGATTCCCATCACTTCTCGAAGTTACTCTACCAAGGGTCTCTTCTAACCACAGTCACCCAAGGGAGCCCCCCCTCCCCACTGTGGCAGATTTGGGAGGACTCAGGAGTGGCACAGAACAAAGACAATTGGCACACACCCACCCATCCAAGCTCTTGCATAGAGTTGGAGGGGGGGAAACTGGAAAAATTGGGGGGAAAACCCCAGAATTTTCCCTGTCCCCCCCCTCGGAAAAATAAAAAAACAAAAAAACTGTCATTTAAGAGTCACTTCCATGGAGAAACACGACATTTTAAACATGGCGACCTTAAATATTTGAAATATGTTTTTGGCACGGAATCTTCAGCAAATTCAAGAAACGTGGCGTTAGGATGAATAGCCGATATGGAAATACAGAAGAGGCCCGCATTTTATAAAAATTACTCCACCTGTTATTTCCAGCAGGCGATCTGCTAACGTACTCTTTCCATGATCCACGTGGGCCACTATGCTAAAATTTCTAATATTTTCTGCAGGAAACAATGACATATCCACTGTATCCTAAAGAAGATTAAAAAAAAAAGGGAAACACAAACCATTAAAAGCCATTTAAAAAACTGCTTCACGACAAGAGTATTTTCACAAAAACATCTTATTAACTACACTGTACTTAGTGAATATGACAGCTCACTCTTGTTTTTCCCAAAGGTGCTTTTTCAGGAGACAACTGGACTTTGAAGATGTTTCGCTTCTCATCCAAGAAGCTTCTTCATGGATGGTGGGGAATGGAAGGATTGATATGGTCATTTGCATTCTTTTAGAGAGTCGTTGAGGCCACCTGGAGGTTTAGCTGTGTCCTCAGGGTCACCTGAGTGGTGCAAATGGGTGTGGAGCTTTCTTGGAACTGCTGAAAGGACTGTGTGGTAGACTGGAGAAAGATGATCTTCTACAACACAGTCCTTTCAGCAGTTCCAAGAAGGCTCCACACCCATTAGCATCACTCAGCTGACCCTGAGGACACAGATAAACCTCCCAGTGGCCTCAACGACTCTCTAAAAGGAGGCAAATGACCAGCTGTCTGCCAGGAGTATAAATCCTTCCCTTCCCCACCATCCAGTCAGAGCTGAAGAAGCTTCTGGGATGAGAAGCGAAACGTCTTCAAAGAAAAACAAGAAAGTCCAGTTGCCTCCTGAAAAAATCCACCTTTGGGACAACCCTGACCTGGATGACTGAGAATCTCCATAAACACTCTTGTTTTTAACTTAAAAAGGATGGTTCCTAATCCAGGTACCAAACAACATACATACAGTTCTAGATTCTATGCACAATATTCCGTAAAATACTTGTTGGGTAGCACTAAATACATCCCAATTATTACAAATTGGATGAATCAACGTTTGGTTAAGAGGCTGGTGGGACTCTCTCTACCTAGAAATCAGTCCAAAAGAAGAGAATATTTGTGGGTCAGAGATGAACTGTGGGGTCCTTCATGCGCTCTGAGCTTGCTTCGGGTTTTTTTTTTGCAAACATTTCATGACCCAACTAGGTAACGTCATCAGTGCTAGAAGGGAGAAAGGTATCTAGTGCAGTACCAGCACTAATGTTCTCTAGTTGGGTCATGAAACCTCTGCAAGAAAACCACCCAGCTCAGAGAGCACCAAGGACCCCACAATTGTCGTCACTCTCTTCTTCCTCCTCCTCCTGTTTCTCCTCCAACTCATCCTGCTCAAAGCTCTCCTCCTCCTCCTCCAACTCCATCCCCTTCTAGCACTGATGATGTTCCCTAGTTGGGTCATGAAACGTCTGCAAGAAAACCACCCAGCTCAGAGAGCACCAAAGACCCCACAATTGTCATCATTCTCTTCCTCCTTCTCCTCCTCTTCCTTCTCCAACTCATCCTGCTCAAACTTCTCCTCCTCCTCCTCCAACTCCATCCCCTTCTAGCACTGATGATGTTCCCTACTTGGGTCATGAAACGCCTGCAAGAAAACCACCCAGCTCAGAGAGTCCCAAGGACCCCAGATATCAATCTCAGATTACCAGACCCTGTTAAAGAACAAAAAGCAAAGCTATTGCGTCCAAATAAGGAGGAATTGCTTTGATTTGGGGCCAACGTACCTTTGGATCCCACCTGTTTTGAAGAAAGCTGTAAAAGTTACATTACTTAAAAGCTGAACTCTCCAAATGTTGGTTACAAGCAAATAACCAATTGCAATCACCTTGTTTGACCTGGAGCAATATTTCCTTGAGGGAACAGCATGAGGTAGACAAGGTTTTTCTGTCCGAAGAGAAAGATACGAAAGAAAAGTAGCATTGTGGGACATCTTACACCTGATGGAGATATATAATGCCCTTTTGAGGAGTAAAGGCATCTTTCCAGATTAACTGCAAGACCACCGTCCAGGCTGAGCAAGGGAAAATGTTCACAGAAGCCTATTATTCAGCATACTGCTTCTACAGATAAATTCGTTTCTGTCAATAATCACAGGCAGCTTTAGTCCAGATTGCCTAAAAGACAGAGGCAAGTATTCTTAAAAAGAACATTAAAAAGGCAAGGGAAAAAAAAAACCACCATCCCAGGGATCACCGTGCCTATTTCCTCTTTATATAGGTTCATCTTCTGGATAAATCCTGCAAAAAAAGAAGACAGCTTCATTTTTCTTTTAGAAATATACCTCCATGGATCCAATTTTTCTTTCCCTAAATTTGCAGTGTATCTTGGCTGGAGGGGGGGGGGAGGGATAGGTCACTTCCCAGAGAGAGCCGTTAAGGCACGGCAGGAGAGATACAGGGCTGACTTGCAGCGCCAGAAAGACACGGAGCCGTATCCTGAATGACGCGGCTGCAAATCAGATTTAGCCGACTTTTCTCTCTTCTTGTTATGCTCTTGGTTTCCGTCGCGTCTGATTTTCACTCCTGTTCTTCTCTTTGGATGATGGTGATTGCCCTAGAAGAATAATGGGTACGTTTCACTTGCAGGAAGCTGACAGACCAGGAGAAAAAGTAGGTGAGCTTCTCACGAGTACAGGAAGTCCTCAACTCAGCCCTTTGCTGAGACACGTTTGTTAAGTGAAATTTGCCCCATTTTACGACGTTTCTTGCCACCTCTGTTAAGCGAATCCCTGCAATTGTTAAATTACTAACACGGTTGTAAAGTGGACTTCGCTTGTTAGAAGATCCCAAAAGGGTATCATTTCTTTTGATTAAACTAGACCGGGGATAGGGAACCTTGGCTCTTTTAGGACTTGTGGACTGCAATACCCAGAATTCCTGAACCAGCCAGAATTCTGGGACTTGAAGTCCACAAGTCCTAAAAGAGCCAAGGTTGCCTACTCCTGAACCAGACTACCCAATTCCACAACTGTTCTTTATATATTTTAGCCTCCCATCCACTAATTGTCTTTGTTGCTCTTCTCTGCACTCTTGGGTGCTCCATCAATGGAGATTTTTACGATGAGACTAGACAGTCACTTGTCTGAAATGGTATAGGCTTGAGCAGGGGGTTGGACTAGAAGATCTCTGAGATCCCTTCCAGCTGTAACAACAACAACAATAATAATAGAGTTGGAAGGGACACTGGAGGTCTTCTAGTCCAACCCCCTGCTCAGGCAGGAAACCCTATACCATTTCGGACAAATGGCTGTCCAGTCTCTTCTTAAAAACTTTCCGTGTTGGAGCATTCACAACTTCTGGAGGCAGGTTGTTCCACTGGTTAATTGTTGTAACTGTCAAGAAATTTCTCCTTAGTTCTAGGTTGCTTCTCTCCTTGGTTAGTTTCCATCCCTTGCTTCTTCTCCTGCCTTCAGGGGCTTCGGATAATGGCTTGACTCCCTCTTCTTTGGGGCAACCCCTGACATATTGGAAGACTGCTATCATGTCATTCCTGGTCCTTTTCTTCATTAAACTAGACATACCCAATTCTAGCAACCGTTCCTTGTATGTTTTAGCCTCCAGTCCCCTGATCACCTTTGTTGCTCTTCTCTGCACTCTTTCCAGAGTCTCAACATCTTTTTTAGATCATGGTGATCAAAACTGGACACCGTATTCCAAGTGTGGCCTCACCAAGGCCTTGTAAAGTGGTATTAACACTTCACCTGATCTTGACTCTATCCTTCTGTTAATGTTATTTTAGCCAATGATGTTTTCTCCCCGGTCCATCTTTTCATTAAACCAGACATCCCCAATTCCAGCAACCCTTCCATATATGTTTTAGCCTCCTGTCCCCTGATCATCTTTGTTGCTCTTCTCGGCACTCGTTTCCAGAGTCGCAACATCTTTTGCTTACATTGTGGCAACCAAAAGTGGATGCAGAGTACTCCAAGGGTGGGCTTACCAAGGCATTGCAAAGGGGTAGGAACCCTTCGCGTGGTCGTGATTCAATGCAAGGCGCACACACGCGCGCCCTTGGAAAGCAAGGCTTCCAGCCGTCTGCAGCCGGTACGCCCCACGCGTGGCAGCCAGGAAACACCGGTCCTCCACTCGGGAAGAAAGGACCGCGAGATAGAAAAAGTGCAGAAGAGTTGCGCGCGCACGCCCTTGTGGCTTTGGAAGATTGACAGCTGACGGGTTTTGGAATCTCGCCCGGGCACCCAACGGTGCGCATTGCACGGCAATGCAAGCGTGCAGGGCTTTTGGTGCATTGCACGCCGGCGGATATATATATAAAAAAAGGGGGGGGGTTGCTTTGCAAGCAATTCACCCATTGCTCTCCCCTGCTCCTTTGCTTCTTCCTTCATCTGCAGCACCCTGCTGGCACTTTGCACCTGGCGTGGGCTGTTTGATTGCAGCGGTGCCTTGGCAAATGAGCTTTTTCTCTCCAGGGAAATTCTTTAAGGAGGAGGCGGAGGGGGGGGGACGAGAAAGAGGGCTAGAAAAAGATCACTCTGTCATTTTTAAAAGTCTACAAAGGATCAGGATGGAGAAAAGAGCTGGAAACATATAATGACTCTGTATATATATTTAAAAGTCTACAAAGGATCAGGATGGAGATAAAATTCTGGAAAAATATAATTACTCTATATAAAAGTCTATAAAGGATCAGGATGGAGAAAAGAGTTGGAAAAATATAATGACTCTATGTATTTAAAAGTCTATAAAAGATCAGGATGGAGAAAAGAGTGCTGGAAAAATATAATTCCTCTGTATATATATTTAAAAGTATAAAAGATCAGGATGGAGAAGAAATGCTGGAAAAATATAATTACTCTGTCATTTTTAAAAGTCTACAAAGGATCAGGATGGAGAAAAGAGTGCTGGAAAAATATAATTATTCTGTATCTATTTTTAAAAGTCTATAAAAGATCAGGATGGAGAAAAGAGTGCTGGAAAAATATCACCACTCTTCGTTTTTCAAAAGTCTACAAAGGACCAGGATAGAGGAAGCACCTTATGCGCAAATATAATTACTCTGTATGTATATTTAAAAATCTACAAAGGAACAGGGTGGAGATAAAATGCTGGAAAAATATAATTACTCTGTATATATTTTTAAAAGTCTGTAAAGGATCAGGATGGAAAAAAGAGCGCTGGAAAAATATAATGACTCTGTATCTGTTTTTAAAAGTTTATAAAAGATCAGAATGGAGAAAATAATTACTCTGTATATATTTAAAAATCTACAAAGGATCAGAATGGAGATAAAATGCTGGAAAAATATAATTACTCTGTATATATATATATTTAAAAGTCTAAAGGATCAGGATGTAGAAAAAAGCTGGAAAAATATAAATTACTCTATCTATTTTCAAAAGTCTATAAAAGATCAGGATGGAGAAAAAAAAGAGCTGGAAAAATATCACCACTCTACATTTTTCAAAAGTCTACAAAGGACCAGGATAGAGGAAGCACCTTATGCGCATGCGTCCTGAGCACATGGCTGGGATAAAGCGTACCATTGGCTTAACTGCAACGGAGGGGAGGAGCAAGCTACTACAGCTCCCGACAGCCTCCGCCGGCGGAGCCAAAAGCGCAAAGCTTTATGGGAGTGGTAGTTTAATGCAAGCTCCTGTTTCTGCAACTCGCAGAAAGAACGTGCGGATTTCCCCCCCCCCTAAAGGAAATCCAGTTTATTTTTCCCAATAAATAAATAAATATAAAACCTGATTGGAAGGGCTGGGCTGGCTGGCTGTTGAAAAAGAAGGCCAGGTGTTACTTATTAAATGCTTCTTGGAAAGTTCTGCTTCTTTGGGCTTTTCTTTATGGTGTATTTCTTTAAATAAAATAAATAAAAATAAATAAAAAGGACCTGTAAAAAAATAAATAGAAAGGACCTGAAAACACCTTTCCTGCTATTTAGATTAATCCAGGGAAGTTGCAGAAAGGTAAAGGGCTCCAGGTGGCTTTGGGGGATATGGTTGGTCCTTGACTTACCGCCACAATCGAGCCCAGCGTTTCTGTGGCTGAGTGAGACATTTTGTTAAGTGAATTTTGCCTCGTTTTATGACCTTTCTTGCCAGAGTTGTTCAGCGAATCACTTCAGTGGTTACGTTCGTCATCTGGTTGTTAAGTGAATCTGGCTTCCTCATTGGCTGCTTTTGGAAGGAGATCACATGATCCTGGGACCCTGCGACCGTCATAAATATGAGTCAGTGGCCAAGGGTCTGAATTTTGATCATGTGACCCTGGGGAGGTTGCGGGTCGAAAGTGTGAAAAGTGGTCATAAGTCACTTTTTTCCAGTGCCGTTGTAACTTTGAACGGTCACTAAATGAACTGTAATAAGTTGAGGACTACCTATAGTAACCAAAGCTAGCTTTTGAAGGTCAGCCAAGATTAGCCAGGAGCTGCTTCTCTTCAGCAGATGAATAGAATAGAATAGAATAGAATAGAATAGAATAGAATAGAATATAGAATGTATGGCATGGTATGAAATGGAAGGGAACAGAATAGAATAGAATAGAATAGAATAGAATAGAATAGAATAATGAATAGAATAGAATAATAATATATAAAATAAAATAATATATAGAATAGAATAATAGAATAGAATAAAATAAATAAAATAAAATAATAAAATAAAATAATAAATAAAATAATAAAATAAAATAATAAATAAAATAAAATAATAAAATAAAATAATAATAAAATAAAATAAAATAATAAAATAAAATAAAATTGGAAGGGGCCTTGGAGGACTTCTAGTCCAGCCCTCTGCTCTAGCAGGAGAACCTATACCATCTCAGACAAGTGACTGTCTAGCCCAGTGGTTCTCAACCTGTGGGTCGGGACCCCATTTGGGGTCGAACGACCATTTCACGGGGGTCGCCAAACAACGCAGTCCGCCATTTTTTCCCCCCTTTTCCTTAGCTGTTCTATTCCCTTTTATTCTATTGGCTTTTGAAAGCCAATAGAATAGACTCTCTTGAATAGACTCTAATTCTATTGGCTTTCGAAAGGCAATAGGAATTGTCCAGGCTGTCTCTGCCCTGCTGAGCCCGCCAGAAGTCTCATTCTGCAAACGGTGCTGCACCAGTTGAGTAGTCCTTGACTAACGACCGGTTGAATAGTCCTCGACTTACGACCGGTTGGGGGGGGTCACGGCATTAAAAAGGTTGAGAACCACTGGTCTAGCCTCTTCTTAAAAACCTCTAGTGATGGAGCACCCACAATTTCTGGAGGCAGGCTGTTCCACTGGTTGATTGTCCTCACTGTCAGGAACTTTCTCCTTAATTCCAGGTTGCTTCTCTCCTTGATCAGTTTCCAACCATTGTTTCTCATCCATCCCTCTGATGCTTTGGTGAACAACCTGGCCCTCTTCTGCCTTGTGGCAGCCCCTCAGAGAGAGAGACAGTAGACGAGGTGATTATGTTGTTGGACTAGGACCTAAAACCCATCTTCAGTACAACCTACTTACAGGTAGTCCTTGTCTTACAACAGTCCATTCAGTGACCGTTCAAAGTTACAATGCCATTTTTCACACTTACGACTGTTGTGGCATCCCCATGATCACGTGATCAAAACTCAGACTGTTGGCAACTGACCCATATTTATGACGGTCGCAAAGTCCATAGGGAAGTCAGATTCACTTAACAACCGGGTTGCTAACTCAGCCACTGCAGTGATTCACTTAACAACCGAGGCAAGGAACATTGTAAAATGGGGCAAAACTTGCCTGACAAATGTCTCACTTAGCAGAAATTTGTTTTCGTAAGTCTGGATGGGGTGGTGGAATTGGGATGGCTATGCCCGTTCCCCTTGAGCTCCTGGTAGAAAAGGTGAAGGATATTAACCTAACGAACAAATAAAATTAATAATTCAAGTATTTGAGGAATCACACCTGTGGAAGTGAACAAACGATATTCAGGATAAACCTCTTCCTTCACAGAAATAATGTGACCGTCACCGATAAAGATCGATTCTAAAGATAAATCTATTTCTCCCTCTCCTTGCCACCTTTTGGACGTGTGAGCGTGTGATGGTGTTGCTGATTAAATTCTGCAGTTTCTTCGAGATGTTCAAGGTGATCATTTATCTTGCACATCAGCTGCGTGACCATCATTTTGTCAAGGTTGCGCAGCCAGCTTCCTAGTCAAGTGCATGAATCTTCCCAGAAGATGTGAAAAAGTTGCCACGTTCAACGTAAGGAGCTTGATTTGAATTCTGTGCTTCGCCACAGCCCTGCAAAAAACTGCGAGGTAATTTCAATCATGATTTACTCATGGCTGTAATCAGTGGTGGGATTCAAATAGGAGAACAACCGGTTCTCTGGATGGATGCCGCTTCCGGAAGTCTGTTCTAGGCCCGGGCAACAAAAAAATTAGCTACCGGTTCTGCCGAAGTGGTGCGAACTGGCTGAATCCCTCCACTGGCTGTAATCCGTACGGGCACAGCGTGGGTCAAGCAAGGTGATGCGTTTGCGATATGAAGGATGAAGAATAAAATGTGCGCGCAGCAAAATATGAAGCTTGGGCAGGACGCAGCCGGTAGCGGATAGATTTATGAATGAACTCCGCGCCGGCTTTTTTTTTTGAACCTCTACAAATAGCGCTATTAGTTTCAGCACAGCGGAATAGCCGGAGATGTTAACAAAACAGTATAGTCTGTCATTTTAACAAGCTTTCCTAAAAGGCCAATTGGATGTAGCAATCTAAAGAACAATACAGCTTGCCTGCATTTAAAACGACTGCAAGAAAAACCCATTCTGTTTTTCAGCCATTCAAAAACATATAAACACTCTCCGGTCAGAACAAAATAATATGGAAGAATTGTTGAGATGGTGTGTACAATTATCCCTCCCTCTCTTTTTTTGGCATTGCGGTAGCATATCCCAGAACACTGAGTTTTATGCAGCCCCTGAATTTAATATTTGCTGCCTTGGTTTTCCCACTGACCACAGTCAATCAGAATATCAATCAATCAATCAATCAATCAGAATAGAGCTGGAACGCACCTTGGAGGTCTTGTAGTCCAACCCCCTGCTCAAGCAGGAGACTCTATACCATTTCAGACAAATGGCTGTCCAGTCTCTTCTTAAAAACCTCCACTGATGGAGCACCCACAACTTCTGGTGGCAAGCTGTTCCACTGCTTAATTGTCCTCAATGTCTCCTTAATTCTGCATTAACAGAGGGATAGAATCAAGATCACATGAAGGGTTAATACCACTTTACAACACCTTGGTAAGGCCACATTTGGAATATGGCATCCAGTTTTGGTCACCACGATGTAAAAAAGATGTTGAGACTCTGGAAAGAGTGCAGAGAAGAGCAACAAGGATGATCAGGGGACTGGAGGCTAAAACATATAAGGATCGGTTGCTGGAATTGGGTATGTCTAGTTTAATGAAGAGAAAGACCAGGGGGGATATGACAGCCAATGTTCCAGTATCTCAGGGGCTGCCCCAAAGAAGAGGGAGTCAAGCTATTCTCCAAAGCTCCTGAAGGCAGGACAAGAAGCAACAGATGGAAACTCATCAAGGAGGGAAGCAACCTAGAACTAAGGAGGAATTTCCTGACAATTAGAACAATTGACCAGTGGAACAACCAGCCTCCAGAAGCGGTGAATGCTCCAACACTGGGAGTTTTTAAGAAGAGACTGGACAGCCATTTGTCTGAAATGGTATAGAGTTTCCTGCCTGAGCAGGGGGTTGGACTAGATGACCTCCAAGGTCCCTTCTAACTTTTTATTATTACTATTATTATTATTATTAATCATTGCACAGTCAGCCAGATATTCAGACTGGATTTGGCATTTTCTCTACCTATCGAGTCGTCGTCGTCATCATTATCATCATCATCATCATCATCATCATCATTATTATTATTATTATTATTATTATTATTATTATTATTCCAGTTTGCTTCTCTCCTTGATGAGTTTCCATCTGTTGTTTCTTGTCCTTGTCACCAATATACAGTTTAGACCTGCCCTAGCTGCAAAAATCTGGGTAGCACTGCATTGCTGCAAAGAAACACCAAAAACTCCTTAGCTAATTAGATAGAAGAGCAGCATTAACAAATCCTGACTTATGGTTATTTGACCCAAAGACAAATGCACTTTTTCTGCTTCACCTTTAGAAATTTTGCAGCGCCAGGAGAAACTCACCGCACGAAGGAAATCAAGCACGTCCTCAGTGAAATGCTGGCCTTTAAATATGCAGTTGAACACATTTAAGAAATTATATTTAAATCCATATCCACCCTGCTGCCCAAACTCATTGGTTGCTTCGAAGCTCCATGAGGCAGATGTTTAGTGCTAGATAGGAAATGGAAAGACGACATTCTTTTTTTCTGGGATCAAAACATTTCATAAAATAAAATGGCGATATCATTTTTACCCTGTGAAATTAAGTAAAAAAGCCATTTGTCTGGAAAAGCTAGGGAGAGAGAGCACTGGAAAAATCTCTGTCCAGGTGGTCATCAACTTACAACAGTCTGTTTAGTGACCGTTCAACTTACAACAGTCTGTTTAGTGACTGAACAGAGCTGAAAAAAAGGATTTCTGGCCGTTTTTCGCCCAACTGTTTCGGCATCATATGATCAAAATTCAGACGCTTGGAAACTGGCATGTACTTATGACAGTTGCAGTGTTCCGGGGTCACGTGATCCCCTTTTGCAACCTTCTGACAAGAAAAGTCAACGGGGGTGGCTGGATTCACTTAACAACCGTGTTACTAACTTAACCACTGCAGTGATTCGCTTAATGGCTGCGGCAAGAAAAGTCGCAAAATGGGGGCAAAACTCACTGAACAAATGTTTCACTTAGCGACATAAATTTTGGGCTCCATTGTGGCTGTAAGTCGAGGACTACTTGTATACTAGACCAGCAAATGAAACTGGCTGAGGTATCAATTTTTAAAAGGGACAGACAGGTAATAAACCAAAAGAATGGCTTGGATATGTGGATTTTAACTCAAAAAAGTGATTTGGACAATTTTTTTTTACCTCAGATTTACCTATGTTATACCTATGAAAGAACTCCTGAGAAAAGCAAAAAGAGAGCAAAAATCAGCTTTTGAAACAATAGCTATGAGGAATAATTAAAAACAATCAATAATCAATTATCCTAAAACTGAGGTCTACAAAGTGGGCCTGTTTAATCCATGTTAAATTGTATATGAGCCTCTCGTTTCTAACATTTTTTCTTGGCTACAGACAGATATAGAGTGGAACAGAACAGAACAGAATATAGAATAGAATAGAATAGAATAGAATAGAATAGAATAGAATAGAATAGAATAGAATAGAATAGAATAGAATAGAAAATAGGAATGGAATAGAGAATAGAGAATAGAATAGAATAGAATAGAATAGAAAATAGGAATGGAATAGAGAATAGAGAATAGAATAGAATAGAATAGAATAGAATAGAATAGAATAGAAAATAGGAATGGAATAGAGAATAGAGAATAGAATAGAATAGAATAGAAAATAGGAATGGAATAGAGAATAGAGAATAGAATAGAATAGAATAGAATAGAATAGAATAGAATAGAATAGAATAGAATAGAAAATAGGAATGGAATAGAAAATAGAGAATAGAATAGAATAGAATAGAAAATAGAATAGAATAGAATAGAATAGAAAATAGGAATGGAATAGAAAATAGAATAGAATAGAACAGAACAGAACAGAACAGAACAGAACAGAACAGAATAGAATAGAATAACAGAGTTGGAAGGGACCTTGGAGGTCATCTAGTCCAACCCCCTGCTTAGGCAGGAAACCCCATATCATTTCAGACAAATAGTTGTCCAGTCTCTTCTTGAAAACCTCCAGTGATGGAGCACCCACAACTTCTGGTGGCAAGCTGTTCCACTGGTTAATTGTTCTCACTGTCAGGAAATTCCTCCTTAATTCCAGGTTGCTTCTCTCCTTGATTAGTTTCCATCCGTTGTTTCTTGTCCTGCAAATTCAGGTGCTTTGGAGAATAGACAAAATGATTGCACTTTTATAAATACAACTCTTTGGTTATTTTCATCTCCGAAGCGTGTAATTACACCACGAAGTATTCCCTCTTTTGTGTAAGTTTAAAAATATCTGTTGGTCTCTTCTCTATCAGCTTAGATAACCAGGCCTTTAGATTCAAGGGCACAAATGACTGAACTTTGAAAAATTATGTGGTGTCTTCATTCTCTTTCATTTATTGGCGATTAGTTGCCAAGTAAATCCTGTTGTAAATGTTGCCTCTGGCACCAAATGCTTTTCTTTCTGTCATACATCTGTTGGGAGGCCAAATTTAGGATGTTATAAATAGCTCAGGATCACCCTGGATTTGGCTGTTTGTAAACCGAATCTCTTGTAGAAAAATTGCAGCGACAGTTTTTAAGGTATGTTCTTTAAATATTAATTGTTAAGGGTGCTGGTTTCATAAACCACAGCTGTTTATAGCTTTTACACATCTCAAATGAGGGGGAAAAAAAACTTGCGGATGGCTTGTTTTTGTTTTGATTCGGTACTTCCAAGCAATATTAATGGTATTTCAAGGCAGGATTAAATTTTAAAACATTATCCTGAGGTGCTTTAGGAACGGTGACACTTCAGCTCATAATTATATTTGTGCATAATTCATAGATAATGTCACATTCGCCATTAAAAAACCCCAATTTACTATTCTTATTAAAAATAAATCAGATTTTGTTTGTTTGTTTTATATTTGGAAGCACATTTTGCTAATTAGCAAGAAGTAAAATTACTGCCTAGAATCACTGCTGTATAAAATATTTTTTTTAATAAATGAAGGTGTAAGGTTGAAGCAGATTAGTCTGTTTAGATTTGAAACACAATTTGTTAATTAGCAAGAAATAAAAGTGCTCCAGGGCCTAATTGTTATATAAGATGTTTTTTTAATAAATGGGGGCCGGATTGAAGCTTATTAATCTGATTATAGACAATCAGGTAAATAAGTATGAAAATAAATATGAACACAATGGAACCCAAAATTTGTGTTGTTAAATGAGTTTTGCCCCATTTTACGACTTTTCTTGCCACAGTTGTTAAGTGAATCACTGCAGTTGATCAGTGAGTAACCCGGTTGTTAAGTGAATCTGGCTTCCCCATCAACGTTGCTCGTCAGACGTTCGCAAAAGGGGATCATGTGACCCCTGGGACACACTGCAACCATCATAAGTACTAGTCAGTTGCCAAGCCTCTGGGTTTGGATAACGTGACCATGGGGATGCTGCAACAGTCGAAAAAGTGAAAAATGGTCATAAGTCATGACCATATTTCTAGAGCAACACTGAAATAAACCAAATAGCTAATTTTGGCTGCTCTGTAAACTTTTACATGTGTGAAACACTTAAGCCTTCGGTGCTTATAAGCACTTTTGTTTTTTTAAAAAAACCTTATTAGGATGTCAGACTTTCTGCAGTTCGATATAGATTTTTACCAGTCCAACTACGTTGCTGACAATCAAGAGGAAAGCTCAAGCAGGCCTGAAGACCCTGGAAAAAAGTGAGAATATATATATCTATATATTATTTCATTTTAGCATGGCGTTAAATCTGCAACTAAACATAGTATATTTTCGTTACCTACATAATCGAACCTCTAGTTGTTTTCACAGCTGAACACTTTATATCGTAGTACTTATTTAAAGGAAATTAAAGGAAGACATCAAGGTAAACAGCCCAGAATTTAGGACCTTGCAGAGTTTGTTTGCTGGCTGCCCTAATAAAATGATGTAGCCCATTTACCTTCCTCCATCTCTATGAAAGAGAGGGAGAAGGAAGGAAGGAAGGAAGGAAGGAAGGAAGGAAGGAAGGAAGGAAGGAAGGAAGGAAGGAAGGAAGGAAGGAAGATTGCAGAGAAGAGCAACAAAGATGATCAGGGGACTGGAGGCTAAAACATATAAAGAATTGGGTATGCCTAGTTTAATGAAAAGAAGGAGTAGGGGAGACATGACAGCAGTGTTCCAATATTTGAGGGGCTGCCCCAAAGAAGAGGGAGTCAAGCTCTTCTCCAAAGCGCCTGAAGGCAGGACAAGAAGCCATGGGTGGAAACTAACTAAGGAGAGAAGCAACCTGGAACTAAGGAGAAATTTTCTGACAGTGAGAACAATCAGAACCTGCCTCCAGAAGTTGTGGGTGCTCCAACACTGGATGTTTTAAAGAAGAGACTGGACAACCATTTGTCTGAAATGGTATAGGGTTTCCTGCCAGAGCAGGGGGTTGGACTAGAAGACCTCCATGGTCCCTCCCAGCTCTGTTCTTCGGTTATTTGGTTCTATTTCACCTTGAAAATACAGAACTTTAAACATAACTAACTGAACGAAGTATGAAAAGGAACTGAATTCAGATATGTGTGTGAAAGCATAAAAGGCTGACTTTCATTCATTGTCATTCTAATTTTGCTAAAAACATTAAGCTTTTGCACAAATTGTGAATTGTGTTGCTAAGGAGCTTGAAGAGAAAAATTGAGATTTTTTGAAGGCTTAACCTTTGCTTTCCACACATATTACCCACGGCATTTGATATTACTACGTTCGCATTTGATATCTTTGTTACCAGAGATCAGTTAACCTTTAATTTTAAATATGAAATATTTGAGTAATATCTTCCTTAATCTGCAGAAGGCCAGGTTTAGAATTACTTGACTTAGGAACTACTGTAATATTCTCTGATATATTATGATCATGCTTTGCCTAATTAGGATAGGAAAAATAAGACTATTAGGAGTCTCAAATTATCTAGGAAAGAGAATATTTCTGAAGGTGTCAAGTGCAAATAACTAGGAATATCTGCTGGGTTCAAAGCACAGAATTATTATTATTATTATTTATTATTGCCACCTATACGTAAGAATCTGGTCAGCTAACGGTCAAAGCTAAATTGGCCCTAGATAAGGAATTTACAGTGGGTGGGACTTGGGTTCTTGTTATTTAATTCCACCTTCCAGCTCAGTCTGCTCCTTTTCCACGGAAGGTATCTGCCCATTCCAGCAAACTGGATAGGGTGAATATGTTCCAAGTCACTGGTAGGACCAAAGGTGTAAACTTCTCAATATTTGCCCCTACTTTATGGAACATCCTTGCACCTGAGATTCTATAATCCTTCCTTCCCACCTTTGTAACTTCCTGGAGGCTTAAAAATGGACTCTTCCCAAAGTATTTGGATCAAAGTCCACTTCTGTTTTGTTTTTGTTTTACTATTTTTATTCATCAATGCTTTATTATTTTTTATTCTGAGGGGATGTTGGGGTTTTTAAAATTGCTTTTATATTTTTTTAATTCGGTTCAATTCAGAATAGATCTTGGAGTGTTCTATTCTAAAAAGTATTTAAAGGTGGTCCATGGTGAAGGAAAGATTGAGAGTCCCTGGTCTATAGCATGGGTGTCCACTCTTGGCCACTTGTGGGCTTCAACTGGCTGGAGAATTCTGGAAGTTGAAGTCCACAAGTCTTAAGGGGGCCAAGGTTGGATGCCTCTGGTCTAAATAACCTTCACTGAATCTTCACCATCATATAAATGTTTCTTCGTCCCAGATTCCCGATAGGCCCTTGGCCACACTCTGAGGCCAATCCTTCTCAACCACTTGAAGGCCAGATCTTTCAACCCGCAGATGCTCCTCAGTTTCCGTCCATCCATACCTACTCCGACAGTTTTGATGAAGAGCCTCCATTGCTTGAAGGTACAGAATTAAAACAATTATATAATTGGTACGTTCTGCCTGATGGCAGCGTCTCACGGATTCGAAACTACCAAATAATTTACTTATCTTCTTTTTCCCCCGCCTATCAACATATTCCCCCTACTTGGGAATGCTTAATGTTCACTAATACCATGAATTCTATATCAAGTCTTCATTTTGCTGAACTTTGACTGAAGATCGACATGGTTATTTCTTGGACTGATACCTCACCTTTCCCTCAGGAGCTCAGGATCACAGAACTGTAGAATTGGAAAAGGGCGACAACTAGGCCAAATCTAATCTACTCAAGATAGCAAGTCCTCCTAATTTTTCCCCCAATAGAAAATGGCCTCATGGTACAGAACGGGCTACAGAGAGTTACGAGCCCCAAATCACCCGGTCAGCCTCCATGGCAAAGAGTGGAGGAGACATTGGATCTTCCTGGTGTCAGCTCATCATCTTAGCTTCTATGTACACCCTGCCAGAATAGAACTGGAAGGGATCTTGGAGGTCATCTAGTCCAATCCTCTGGAGACTGTATACCATTCCAGACAAGTAACTGTCCAGTCTCTTCTGAAAAAACCCCCAGTGATGGAGCACCCATAACTTCTGGAGGCCAGATGTTCTACTGGTTAATTGTCCTCACTGTTAGGAAGTTTCTACTTAGTTCCAGGTTGCTGCTCTCCTTGATTAATTTCCATCCGTTGTTTCTTGTCCTGCCTTCTGGTGCTTTGGAGAATAGCTTGACCCCCTCTTCTTTGTGGCAGCTCCTCAAATACTGGAATACTACTATCATGTCCCCCCCTAGTCCTTCTTTTCTCTAGACTGGCCATCCCCAAGTCCTGAGAATAAAATTCACTTATGTCAAATGCGCAAGTTCTGATTTGTCAAGGTGAGAAGGCCACAAGATCACCAAATGATCTCCTACATTTACATCTTTCTTTTCGAGACAATGAGGTTGTAACTAGCTTGATCTTAACAGGGTCAGCTTTCAAGGTAAAATATGTTTAAAATGAGGTTCAGTCCGAAGATGCCAAATCAAAAAAAAAAAAAAGGGGGGGGGAGAGAATCCATTTTAATTTGTTGCCTTGCATTTGTCACAGGGACACATGTTTATGTTTGAAATGACAGCCACCCCCATTTGCGTGGAAAATAAAGTCATTAAGTCATATTTATGGCACATACATCGTACACTTTACTGCCTCTAGATGACAGCCTCTCAATAAATTTTGCATCCAGATTTCGTAAAATTACCTTTTCCTCTGTATTTATCTGGCATAATCAGATATCATGCTATGATACCTATAATTAATAAACACTTCTTATAATTTTGTTTACATATTTCATAATACATTTTTATGGGTTCTTTTTTAGTGGTCAGTTATTCTAAAACTTGAAAAAGTTCCCGTGAGTCTCAGTGAATCTGCTACACAACCAGGTTTGATATCTGATATTTCAAAGAGCTTAAAATCCCATATACAAATTCTCTACTTGAGATACCAGTGCAATCATACTCTGATTTAACTTCAGAGTAACTTTCCTTCAATGATATAACGTACAAGTAAAAAGATATACAAACTGCACTACTTGGTTTAATAATAATAATAATAGTAAAGTTGGTTTAATAATAATAATAATTATAATAATAGTAAAGTTGGAAGGGACCTTGGAGGTCTTCTAGTCCAACCCCCTGCTCAGGCAGGAAACCCTATACCATTTCGGACAAATGGCTGTCCAGTCTCTTCTTAAAAACTTCCAGTGTGGAGCATTTACCGCTTCTAAAGGCAGGTTGTTCCACTGGTTAATTGTTCTTAACTGTCAGGAAGTTTCTCCTTAGTTCTAGGTTGCTTCTCTCCTTGATTGATTTATAACATTTCAGCAGCGTTTCGTGATCTGCGCCCTTTTTATCTCTACAAATCCCTAGAAGAGAAAAAAAGAGTTAATATCTTTTAGTCTTTTTTAGCCAAAACCTAAGACCAACGTCCTTGAAGAAAATTAATAGAATACGTGGTCAGGTTAAGCAAAAGAAATATTAATTGGATTTACAAATCACGCTAAAGTATGTAATTTTTTTTAATCTATCTCATTGCAGTGATCCCTAGGAAATATTCTTGGTGGTTTAATATAAATTTATCTTGGCTATAAAGATAAATTGCTAATCTGAAGTCTAGGATTGATTTGTATTTTAACAAGCCTTTGTATTTCTATTTCTTCATTCTGTTTAAGAGAATGTATAAGCTTAAAAATGGTTGAATATGATATTTACTCATTACTATGATCCGGACGGTAGCTTGTTTGTTGAAATATGTGATTGTACCTATCCTTATTTTACCCTAAATCCTTTATTCCCTTCCCCTTTCCCTCCACCCCCTCCCTTTACCATACCTGTATTATTCCTATTTCTCCTCATCTATATAAATTTAATAAAATTTTGTTTTTTTAAAAAAGAGAATTTATAAGCGAATAAAGCACCAAGAGACTCGCTGCATATGCAGTTGCTTGGTGAGAAGTAAAAGTATTCATAATGTTTTAAATTCCACACTGGATATTTGTTTTAGCTTCTGTTACAGGCTCAGTTTTCCTTTGGGCTCACCTTGAAAATTAGTGTTGATGACAGAATGAGCTTCCAAATTTTGCAGGACATAGAATATTGTTCAAGGATAATGCATTTAACCCTGCCAGATATAGATGTTAAATGTTGGTTCATGGGAATCATTTCGATCCTTTTACTCATGAAAAAATTGCATTATGTGGGGATTTAATTTCATAATTCAGTTGTCTTTCATTAATTTAATTTCCCTTGAAGAGGATTTTTTTTAAAAAAAATCTGTACAACTAAAAAAACGAATTTGATTTTTTGGATCAACGTTAATATTTATCATTTTAAGTCTTTGGTCTTTTTGCCACTTGGTGTTTGAAATGAGTAAGGCAGCTCCTATTCCATTAACAAACTTATATCTAACACACAACTCCGTTAGTGGTCTTAGGAAAATACGTATCTTGTTTCATCTCTCTTTTATAATATAGTTATAAAAAAACCCAGCTCATGCAGCTTTGGTATCATTCATATTTTTAAGGTTATTGTTCATTTTATGAAAGGATATGACTTGTAGACTTCAATTCCCAGAATTCCTCACGCTGACTGAGGAATTTTGGGAGTTGAAGTCCACAAGTCATCAAAGGGCCAAGTTTGAAGACCCCTGCTCTAAACTAATAACATCTACATTAATTAACATTAATTATGCTTTCATATGTTCCTCTAACTGAGGGCTCTTCAAACTTGGCCCTTTTAGGACGTGTGTGGATTTCAACTCCCAGAATTCCTCAGCCAGGCACGCTGGCTGAGGAATCCTGGGAATTGAAGTCCACAAGTCATCAAAGAGCCAAGTTTGAAGACCCCTGAGTTATGGTAATCCTATAGTGTAGTTCATTGTTTTTGCACAGTTTTCCCTGTCCTCCTTTGACATGGATTTTCACGTTCATAATTTAGAATCCCACCTGTCCTAGTTGGAGACCAAATCAAGATGTTCAATTGTCTTATGAGCCGCTAGAACATCACAGCGAAACTGACTCTTTCCTTCTTTCATTTCTCAAGGTCCTTGACGAACCATTCCACAAGGGCAGGGGTCTTCAAACTTGGCCCTTTGATGACTTGTGGACTTCAACTCCCAGAATTCCTCAGCCAGAGTGCCTGGATGAGGAATTCTGGGAGTTGAAGTCCACAAGTCATCAAAGGGCCAAGTTTGAAGACCCTTGTCTTAAATCTAACAAACAAAATGGAGGGTGGATGAGGAATTCTGGGAGTCGAAGTCCACAAGTCATCAAAGGGCCAAGTTTGAAGACCCCGGAACAAGGGTTTCCCCTTACATAATGAAGCTTTTTCCCCCTGTTTTTCTTTTGCAGAGCTGGGAATCAACTTCAGCCATATTTGGCAGAAAACATTAACAGTGCTGAACCCCATGAAGCCGGCTGAAGCCAGCATTATGAACGAGACGGATCTGGCTGGACCTTTGGTTTTCTGCTTAGCCCTGGGATCAACGTGGCTCTTGGTAGGCTAGACTTCTCTGCTCTAAGCGAACTTATCTGTCAATCATTGACTCCAATATTATAGCCGGCCTGAGATACTTTTAAAAAAATGTCCAGATTTTTTATAAGTAATGTCAGGGGATTCCTTCCACTTTATAATGCCTTGGTAAGACCACACTTGCAATATTGCATCCAGTTTTGGTCTCCACGATATATAAAAAAAAAGATGTTGAGACTCTAGAACAGGGGTCTTCCAACTTGGCCCTTTTATGACTTGTAGACTTCAATTCCCAGAATTCCTCATCCAGGCACACTGACTGAGGAATTCTGGGAGTTGAAGTCCACGAGTCATAAAAGGGCCATGTTTGAAGACCCCTGTTCTAGAAAGAGTGCAGAGAAGAGCAACAAAGATGATTGGGGGACTGGAGGCTAAAACATATAAAGAACGGTTGCTAGAATTGAAGAGAAAGACTAAGGGGGACATGATAGCAGCCTTCCAATATCTCAGGGGCTGCCCCAAAGAAGAGGGAGTCAAGCCATTATTCAAAGCCCCTGAAGGCAGGACAAGAAGCAACAGTTAGAAACCAATCAAGGAGAGAAGCAGCCTAGAACTAAGGAGAAACTTCCTAACAGCAATTAACAATTAACCAGAGGAACAGCTTGTCTTCAGAAGCTGTGGGTGCTCCAACACTGGAGAAAGAAGAAATTGGGCAACCATTTATCTGAAATAGTGTAGGGTCTCCTGCTTGAATAGGGGGTTGGACTAGAAGACCACCAAGGTCCCTTCCAACTCTGCTTTGCTAATTGAAAGCATCTATCTTGGAACTTATTGGAAATATTGTACTCCGATCTTGTGGAAAACGAAAGGACTTTTATGATTCCAGAGGGTTTTAGCAGAGAGATTTATTGCGCAGGTTCAGAAGCAATAGCAACAAGCAATTCTGAACCCCGAGGGCGGGCTCAGACTTCAGTTTTATACTTTCCTCTTTTTTTCAGGAACAAAGGAATACACATTGAAGTACACATTGTAATACATTAGGTTTGTTTGTCATGGGTATACAATGGAGAGTTTTCTACATACATTGGATCCAAGTGCAATGCGCATTAGGTTAGTCACATACTACTAACACAGCACTGTTCCAGTAATTATGCGGACCCATCATTATTCTAGTGATTGTTCATTATTCCACATTACCGACATTATTAAGTTTCAAAAGGGAGGTTGATTTAAATGAAAATAGGTGCACTGTGGATTAGGATCCTGCGTAGGACCGGAGCTTTTACTTAGAGACAGAATGCATCCAACAATTTGAAGAAAAGCGGATGACTTTATGGATCCGTATCTGGCAACATTTAACCCCCATCTAAAAAAAAAAAAAAAAGGTTGTGACATCTTTGCTATATTTTAGTTCAAAGCAGGATTGAGGACTTTTCTACACGAGAGTGACTGACTGGGGATTAGATCACGAATGACAATTCCTGGCCAAAAACTCTAGCAGGTTCTTGTTTCACGGTTGCTTCGAGTCACACAACTGCAGCAGTCTGAAAACCGCCGCCCCCCCCCCCAAAAAGAGAGAGAGAGACCAGCAACCTTGTAAAAGACGTCTCTGATGCATTATTGAGCTTGTTGCATTTATTAAGACAACTTCAGACGAGAGAGATATTCAACAAGATGCCTATAGCTTCAATTCCGTGGATTTTTCTTCACAGTCTATTCCCGCCGTCATTTAAAACAAGATTCCAGTGAAACTAAAAGGAGATCTGTTATGATCTTTTGACTGGATCTGTTCCAGTTTCACCTCCTTTGTCTGCAATGTTCTCCATCAAGCACTATATCAAAACAAGCCACCAGCTTGCCATCTTTCTGCCCCTGGCGTAGCAATTTGTTAATCTTAGATTAAGCCGCTAAATGCTGCTTTGTCAATTTAATCAAACAGGCTGGAACAAACAAGTTAAAATGTTGGCTGGTTGCTGCTGGCGTTGTGTTCTGTACAGCGCCTGCAGAAAATGTGGTGGGTCACCTCTTTAGGGCCAAATTGAAAATGCTAAATCTACTGAAAACTTTTAATGACCGCAGAGGAAGCAGATAGTCATCTGGGACACAAACGATGTCACGCACCAGTAACATGCCAGACTTAACAACAGTTCATTTAGTGACCGTTCAAAGTTACACTGGCACTGAAAAAAGTGACTTATGATTGTTTTTCACACTTATGACATTGTGGCATCCCCTTGGTCACCTGATTTGCCAATAGAATGGAATAGAATAGAATAGAAAATGAAATAGAATGGAATAGAATAGAATAGAATAGAGTAGAGTAGAGAATAGAATAGAGAATAGAATAGAATAGAGAATAGAATAGAATAGAATAGAATAGAGAATAGAATAGAATAGAATAGAATAGAATAGAGAATAGAATATAGAATAGAGTAGAGTAGAGTAGAATAGAGAATAGAATAGAATAGAATATAGAATAGAATAGAGTAGAGTAGAGTAGAGAATAGAATAGAATAGAATAGAATAGAGAATAGAATAGAATAGAGAATAGAATAGAATAGAAAATAGAATAGAATAGAGTAGAGTAGAACAGAGAATAGAATAGAATAGAAAATAGAATAGAATATAGAATAGAATAGAGTAGAGTAGAGAATAGAATAGAATAGAACAGAATAGAATAGAAAATAGAGCAGAATAGAATAGAAAATAGAATAGAATAGAACAGAATAGAATAGAAAATAGAGCAGAATAAAATAGAAAATAGAATAGAATAGAATATAATAGAATAGAAGCTGGAAGGGACCTTGGAGGTCTTCTGGTCCAGCCCCCCACTCAAGCAGGAGAACCTATACCATCTCAGACACGTAAGTGTCCAGTCTCCTCTTAAAAATCTCCAGTGATGGAGCGCCCACAATTTCTGGTGGCAAGCTGTTCCACTGGTTGATTGTCCTCACTGTCAGGAAGTTTCTCCTTAATTTCAGGTTTCCAACCATTGTTTCTCGTCCTTTCCTCTGGTGCTTTGGAGAATAATGTGATCCCCTCTTCTTTGTGGCAGCCCCTCTGATATCGGAATACTGCTATCACATCTCACTTAACAGCAGAAATCTTGCACTCAGTTGTGGCCGTAGGTTGAGGACTACCTGTATGGAAAAGTATGATAACCTCTCTTGCCTAAACCAGTGGTTCTCAACCTTTCTAATGCCGCGACCCCCTAATACAGTTCCCCATGTTGTGGTGACCCCCAACCACTTATACATCACCGGGTGCCAGGGGCTTGGCCAAAGAAAAGGGGGAAAAAATGGCAGACAGCCTTGTTTGGCGACCCCCGTGAAATGATCGTTCGACCCCAAATGGGGTCCCGACCCACAGGTTGAGAACCACTGGCCTAAACCAACCGCTGTTGGTCGCTGGTCTGCTCTTCTCTTTGTTCATTTCTGTAGGCAGGAAAAGTCCATTTTAGCTACGTGTACGGAACCAGTGTGATTGGGTGCCTGGCGATCCACGCGCTGTTGAACCTGATGAGCATCGTAGCGGTTTCCCATGGGTGTGTCGCCAGTGTGCTAGGCTACAGTCTGTTGCCCATGGTGATCTTATCCACCTGTGCAGTATTTTTCTCCTTACAGTAAGTATCCTCTGAAATTGTGTGAAGGGAAAGAAGGAGCATCCATGCCTCTTTCAACTGAGGAGAATATTGATAGCGCAGGGTTGAAATGGTGCTCTCTGAGCTTGGTGGTTTTCTTGCAGACGTTTCATGACCCAACTAGGTAACATCATCAGTGGTAGAAGAGAGGGGGGTTTCTGGGGAGGAGGAGGAGGAGGGGGAGGGGGAGGGGAGGGGGAGGAGGAGGAGGAGGAAGAAGAAATCTGTAGTGTCCTTGGTGTTTCCTGAGCTTGGTGGTTTTCTTGCAGACATTACATGACCCAACTAGGTAACATCATCAGTGCTAGGAGGGAATGGGATTTGCAGAAAGGAGGAAGATGGGATAGGGAGGAGAAGGAGGAAGAGGAGGAGGAGGACAACCACTATGGGGTCCTTGGAGCTCTCTGAGCCTGCTTGTTTTCTTGCAGATGTTTCGTGACCCAGACTAGCACAGATGATGTTACCTAGTAACTCATTTCATAACCTCCTTGCAGCCGGTCAATGGAAGTAGAAGCTAAGTGTTTCACAGTGGCCATGAGTTGAATAGAGTTTTGTACAGGCTTGGACAACAAATCTTCTTAACTGGAACGTAAGGTGTAGTCCCTGTTCTTTGTGGCTGACATCACCTGGATTCTTTGTGTTATTTCAGGGGAATCCCTGGGACTCTGATTGCTCTGATCATTATTGGATGGTGCAGCCTCTCAGCCTCCAAAATCTTCGCTTCCACCTTGGCTATGGAAGGCCAACAGGTTTTGGTGGCCTATCCTTGTGGTTTACTCTATGGCCTCTTGGCCCTCATAACCATTTTCTGAGCTTTGCTGTTTATAGGAGTATCCTTTCTCTACCGCACGGAGGGGGAACCATGTCGCTTTTATGACTTGTGGACTTCAACTCCCAGAATTCCTGAGCCAACCTGGCTGGCTAAGGAATTCTGGGAGTTGAAGTCCAGAAGTCATAAAAGGGGCCGTAGTTCCCCACCTCTGCCTTGGAACCTGAGTCTTACCTATTAAAATGGCGGGCTCAGGAATTGGATGGTAGTCTATTCTGTTCTGTTCTGTTCTGTCCTATTCCTTTGTTGCTTTGCATGCACACAGAGAGCTTTGGCACCAGAGACAAATTCCTTGGATGTCCGATAACACTTGGTCAATAAAGTATTCTATTCTATTCCTTAATTCTATTCTATTCTATTCTATTCTATTCTATTCTATTCTATTCTATTCTATTCTATTCTATTCCCATTCTATATTCTATTCTATTTCATTCCCATTCTATATTCTATTCTATTCTATTCTATTCTATCCTATCCTATCCTATCCTATCCTATCCTATCCTATCCTATCCTATCCTATCCTATCCTATCCCATCCCTTTGTTGCTTTGCATGCACATAGAGAGCTTCTGCACTAGAGACAAATTCCTTGTGGTTCTAACAGCACTTGGCCAAATGAAGTATTCAAATAAAGGTTGGACAACCCTGGTCTAAATGCTTGTATCTAAGTCTAGCCTGAGAATGGGCTGCACTTAGTGTATGTCAGTATAACCTGAACGTAACAAACCTGAAGCCTATCAACGATCACAAAAGAGTCTTGCGTGCAAAAGAGAAAACAAACAAACAAACAAAGAAACCGGTATCAATTCCCATAGCCATCCATTTGTTCTCTTTAATGGTGTGTTCTCTTCTCTCTGCCCCCGATATGCATTAAACTTCATCAACAATACAAGATTATACAATTTACATTTTATTTCCCCTAATGGATGAAAATGAAATATAACCGGGAAGAGAATGTTTGTAATTGCAGAGTGGAAGCTTTAAGCTGTAAATGTTTTGTTTTAAAAGCATTAAAAGCTGAACGGATTGTTCTTGTTGTTGTTGCTGTTTTTTTTAAAGCGCATATAAACATTTTATAAAGTGCAGGGGAAATAATACGGATCTAAAAACAGTTTGCTGTTGGGACGGTATTTGGGGTGGGGTGGGGGAAAGACCCTGTAGTATCAAAGTATTACACATATGTTTACGGTGAACAACAAGCAAGTCCTGGCATGCATAAACCCAGACATGTCACTGGAAGTCAAAATGACAAAACTGTGTCTCATTTACTTTGGCCAGGCCATGCAGGAGAATTGCCTGCAGAAAGCAGTTGTGTGTCATGGTTCCGATAGATGAAACCAATTAAAAGAACTTCAAGGCAAAGATGTCTTCCTTAATTTGATTCAGGAAACAAAATATCGGCACTTACATGGTTGAACCCAAGACTAAAGTTCCCTCCCCCCTGATACAATGTCACAAGTTGCAGTTCCCACCCCAGAACTGAAGCTTCTTCAGCTCTGACTGGGTGGTGGGGAATGGAAGGATTTATGACTGGGTGGTGGGGAATGGAAGGATTTATACTCCTTGCAGACAGCTGGTCATTTGCCTTCTTTTAGAGGTCATTGAGACCACTTGGACCCTGAGGACACAGACAAACCTCCAAGGAACGGTTGCTGGAATTGGGTATGTCTAGTCTAATGAAGAGAAGGATGAGGGATGACTTGATAGCAGGGTTCCAAAATCTCAGGGGTGGCCACAAAGAAGAGAGGCCCCCCTCCAAAGCCCCTGAAGTCAGGATAAGAAGCAATGGACCAAAGAGAGAAACAATCTAGAACTAAGGAGAAATTTCCTGACAATTGTTAGAACAATTAACCCGTGGAACAACTTGCCTTCAGAAGCTGTGAATGCTCCAACACTGGAAGTTTTTAAGAAGAGACTGGACAGCCATTTATCTGAAATGGTATAGGGTTTCCTGCCTGAGCAAGGGGTTGGACTAGATGACCTCCAAGATCTCTATTGTTATTATTGAGGATCATCACACAGTCAGCCAGATGTTCAGACTGGATTTGGCATTTTATCTATCTATCGAGTCCTTACCCAGGACCTGGGATAGGCAGATGTGGATGTTTGATGGTATTACAGATCTTGTCACCGGATGGAGGCGGTTCCTAGTAAGGCCGCCTTTTGCAATTGACTAATGGCAAATTTGTCAGTGTCAATGGTGTTCAAGTGGTGCTCCAGTTGTTTTGGGATTACTATTGGTACTACCCTTGCTTGCTTTTGCCACAGTCTTTCTATTTCTATTTGTAGGTCTTTGTATTTTGTTATCTTCTCCAGTTCTTTCTCGTCTCTTCTGCTGTCTCCAGGCACTGCCACGTCCACTATCCAGACTTTTTTGTCTTTCTTATTGACAATTGTTAAGTCCGGGGTATTATGTTGCAGGTGCTTGTCTGTTTGAATTCTGAAGTCCCAGAGCAGTTTGACTTTATCATTTTCTATGACTTTTTTTATTTTATGATACCACCAGTTCTTGCTTACAGGCAAATGATATTGTTGTTGTTACTATTATTATTATTATCCCAAATTAAGGAATTACAGGGTCGTAAAAAGAAGAAAAAAAGTTGTACAATCTATACATGGTAGCATTTAAAAAAAAACATATTGAAACCACGCATTGCTCTGAAATGCATTCCTTTGAGATTCTCGTTGTCATTCTTATAATAATTGTTATTATAATGTGTCACAGTTACATCAGTATGAAGGACCCATTTTACAACAGAGTAAATAAAGTAGCTGAACAATGCGACGGTATGTCACCTCTGAATAAATAAATATTCTTCACATGCTGCCATGCTAATTCTGATTCCCTTCAGAAGGCATGGTTTATTCATATTGCTACAATGAACAAAATAAATGGAAAGATAATGCAATAGAATTTCACCATCGTGTTTACCGTATGTTAATCTATTAGACTTACTTAATCAATGAAACTTAACCTGATTGTAAAATTCCCCAAGTCACAGGTTGAGCCTGAATTTCTTCGAAGCCGTGGAAGTAACTAATTGTGCCAGGTAAATCAGTTTGATCTATTCAATAAACATTAGTAAGCAAATTATTAGCATGACTGGTGCAGCATCTGACTGAATCCATGCAGTTTATCCCAACCTGCAGAACTGGTTTTAAATAACTCTTAACACTAATAAAAGAGAATATTCAGCTAGGGTTGAACTGTGGGGTCCTTGGTGCTCTCTGAGCTTGGTGGTTTCCTTGCAGACATTTCACTACCCAACTAGGTAACATCATCAGTGTTAGAAGGGAGGGGGGTTTGCAGAAAGGAGGAGGAGGAGGAAGAGGAGGAGGAGGATAACTGTGGGGTCCTTGGTGCTCTCTGAGCTTGGTGGTTTCCTTGCAGACATTTCATTACCAAACTAGCTAACATCATCAGTGCTCTCTGTTTACAGTATATACTAGTGGCTGGTCCTGTCTGTGTTGGTGGAAGTGTTGTTTTCTTCTTGGTAATTCCTTGATTGGGCTGTTATTTACGGTTTGATTCTTTGTCTGAGTTGGTAATTCCTTGATTGGGGTATTGTTTACTTTTTGATTGCTGGTCAAGAAGTAAACAATGGATTGATTAATCTAGGTGTTATTCTCTGCTTATCTGGATACATCAGCCGCATCAGGAAACCATCAAGAACATTGCCACCAATACTGACAGAGCAGTACGTAAAAAGAGAACAAAAACCCACTCCCTTCCAGCACTGATGAAGTTACATGGTTGGGTAATGAAACATCTGCAAGAAAACCACCAAGCTCACAAGACCCCACAGCCCTAATGCTCAGTTAATGCATTTTTACCAGCAGGATGCATTAGGTTTCCTTCATGGGGAGACTGGGGTGGTGGTGAGTTTGGGACATGGTCCAAGTGCATCAGTACCAGAGTCACCCTATTGGTGAGAGGGGCGACATATAAATTTAATAAATAAATAAAATAAATTTGCAACGGAGAGCTATTCTATTCTATTCTATTCTATTCTATTCCATTCCATTCCATTCCATTCCATTCCACTCCACTCCACTCCACTCCATTCTATTCTATTCTATTCTATTCTATTCTATTCTATTCTATTCTATTCTATTCTATTCTATTCTATTCTATCACTCCACTCCACTCCACTCCACTCCACTCCACTCCACTCCATTCCATTCTATTCCATTCCATTCCACTCCACTCCACTCCACTCCATTCTATTCTATTCTATTCTATTCTATTCTATTCTATTCTATTCTATTCTATTCTATTCTATTCTATTCTATTCTATTCTATTCTTTATTCTATTCTATTCCTCCACTCCACTCCACTCCACTCCACTCCACTCCACTCCACTCCACTCCACTCCATTCCATTCCATTCCATTCCATTCCATTCCATTCCATTCTATTCTATTCTATTCTATTCCACTCCACTCCACTCCACTCCACTCCACTCCACTCCACTCCACTCCACTCCATTCCATTCCATTCTATTCTATTCTATTCTATTCTATTCTATTCTATTCTATTCTATTCTATTCTATTCTATTCTTTATTCTATTCTATTCCTCCATTCCATTCCATTCCATTCCATTCCATTCCATTCCATTCCATTCCATTCCATTCCATTCCATTCTATTCTATTCTATTCTATTCTATTCTATTCTATTCTATTCTATTCTATTCTATTCTATTCTATTCCTTTGTTGCTTTGCGTGCACTCAGAGAGCTTCTCCACCAGAGACAAATAACACTGGCTGCCTTATTTTGTGATGGAGACTGCTGAGGGTCAAATCTCACCCCAGCAGCTAGCTATCTGCCGGAAGGATGCAGAGACTAAAAAGAAAAACTAATAAGGATAGCTGAAGAGTCACCGAAGAAGGAAGCAAGGCTAACAAGAGAGGAATTGAGCAAAGGGCTCCTACACATAATCACTGAATTTAACCCAATTGGTTAGAAACGAATCTTCCAAGAGCTTCCGCCTCCTGTGTTTTCAACAGAGCACACACGAGTTCACCTTGGTCCTTTATGAGATCAGTTTATTCAAGTATGGAAAATGTATTTAAAAAGAAATTACCGTGATGGCGAAGAATTAGCCCAATAGGACAGGGGCGCAAGGACATTTTATTGCAGCCTGACATGAGCAAGCGATGCATTTCAATCCACTGGGAAGCTGTTTCTCTTTTATTTTATTTTATTTATTTTATTTTAAAAGGAGAGAAATAGCTTTGTAAAATTCCGTCGTGCTCTACATAATTCGCAGCGACGTTTGATTCTAAAATTGCCACTAACCTGCCACCTGCTGCCAAGGCAAAAGCGTGCTTTGCCGAGCATAGGTTATTCCTAAATATATCTTTGGGAAGGCAGGATTGAATTGGCACACGCCGCGTTACA